GGATTAGAACCGGCACCCATATGGGATCCTGGGCATGTTCAAGGTGAGGACTTTAGCCACTAGGCCACGCCGCAGGGCCCACAAGTTTTTTTTCTTTCCTTTACTCTTTCCTTCAGTTTGCATTTTCCTTTTCACTTGTGTTCCATCTGTCACTTTTTCTTTTACACATCTTCCTCTCCTCTGCTCCTTTGTTATGTTAGGGCTTTGCACACATCCAATCATTTCTTTCTTTCCTTTACCAAGTATCAGTGAGCCACCTCCAGGGGAGAGAGCCCCACATTCTGAGAAACAAGCCCAAGCAGCCATGCCTATGCTGCGGTCTGATCCGGGAATGGCAAGCGTATGCTCCCACAATCACACCTGAAGTTCAGGGAATGGCTGCAGTGGCTTAATGTGGGCAGAGAAGAGCAGCTGAGCAGGAAAACACACAATGTGTGTCAGAAGCCTCCCTAGCAATGATGTGGACTTGAAGAGGAGCTGGAGGCAAGGCTGGCTATGGAGACCCAGTCAAGGTGAAGGGTTTCTGCATGTGTCACGTGCAAGTATGGTGGTCTAAGGAACAGAACCTAGGTAGAACTCACCAGAGTGGCTCTTGCTGACAGGCCAAGAGACTCAAATGTTAATGATGGGCCTATGTGGCAAAAGACGGAGTCAAGGTCTGGAGGTACAGGTGCAGAAAGCACTGCAGGATCCTCTGTGTGTGGATGTGAGGGAGGGCGAGCCTTCAGAGATTTGTGCAGTCTCCAACAGGCTGAGAGTTCTAGCACTAGTGGGAATGGATAGGAATTGACACTAACTACATTTTTTTTAAAGGTTTATTTTTATTATGTTTTTATTGGAAAGGCAGATATACAGAGAGGAGAGGAGAGACAGAGAGGAAGATCTTCCATCCGATGATTCACTCCCCAAGTGATCGCAACGGCCGATACTATGCCGATCCGAAGCCAGGAGCCTCTTCCGGGTCTCCCACATGGGTGCAGGGTCCCAAAGCTTTGGTCTGTCCTCGACTGCTTTCCCAGGCCACAGGCAGGGAGCTGGAAGGGAAGCGGGGCTGCCAGGATTAGAACTGGCGCCCATATGGGATCCCGGGCGTGCTAGGTGAGGACCTTAACCACTTGCGCCACCGCGCCGGGCCCAAAAATACATTTTTTAAAAGCTAATTTTGTTAGCTTGGATTCCATGAAAACATGTTTTTATTAGCTAAATTTTTAACAATTAAGATCAAGAGATAAATAGAGTAAAAATCATTTAACTGAAGATTTTCCAAAAGGAATTTAACTCTTTCTTAGCCCAACATCCCTGCTCATAGTTCTGTTGTATTATTCTAGAAACTTTTATACAAAAGAACATAATTTAACACTGCTTTCTAACATTTTTATTGTTTTACTTCAAAAAATTTTGGCTTTAACAGCAAACAGAGGTGTATCATACTTTTTAATAGATGCTCACTTTTCAACTGAATAGCTGGTATCTAACGTGTTACTATCAGACTTTTTTTCCCAGTTTTTTCATGATTATATATTTAGGATAAACTTTTATTTCCAAGTTTTATGGGCTGATTTGTGTTTTTCCCTAACTTTTATTTTGAAGTTCTAGCCCCAGTACTTAATAATGTTTAACTGTTAGAGCCAGTGCTGTGACATGGCATAGTAGGCTAAGACTCCATGTGGGGAACTGGAATCCTACGTGGGCACAGGTTCAAGTCCCAGCTGCTTCACTTCTGATCCAGCTCCCTGGTAATGCCCTGAGAAAGCAGTAAAAGATGGCTTAAGTCCTTGGGTCCCTGCACCCAGTGTGGGAGACCAAGAAGAGGCTCCTGGTTCCTGGCTTTGGATCAGCCCAGTTCTGGGCATTCCAGCCACTTGGGAAATGGATAGTAGATGGATGATATTTCTCCAATGCTGTCTTTCAAATAAGAATAAAATGCATTTTTAAAACATGTAACTGCTTTTGGAGATTGGGCATTGAAAGAGATATTACATAAAGAGATTTTAAGGAAATTGATTTTCAATTTTAATTTAAAATTTTACATTTGAAAGAGACTGATGATATAAAAAAAGAGGTGTTTGGGGAGGGGGTACTCTAACATGGCAGATGTCATTACAATAATGGAATGGCACATACAGAGAAATCATACACAAATGAAAAGCTCCTATGTGGACCCTTCTGAGAACAGTTATCTGTAAACCAAGGAGGATGGTCTTGAGGAAATATTCTACACACACACACACACACACATACGCACATACATATTTTACTAGTTGAGGATCCCTTGTACATAAAGTATACTAATTTTTTAAAATATAGTTCTGAGTTTTGTATTTTCTAATGCCATCATCCATCATAGTAGAATTTGATCGCTAAATCAAGCTAGACTACCCGGATCAGTTGTTGATTGGCTATTTTCCCTGACAATAATCATGCAGATCAGCTGGTACAAAATTTGGACTGTGATTTCATCTGTCTTGAACTACAATTTTTTTTTTCATTGCTTATTTTCACAACTAAGCGCCTAGTAGGGAATACTGTGTCCCATCCTCAAATAAGAATGCCTTACAATTGACCTTCCCCAGTCAGTCATGCTTTTCAGAGCTTGGTTGGAAAATCCTACGGAGCAGGCCTAGCGCGTTGGTATTTCTGGTTGCCAGGGAATAATCTGCTTCAGAGCGTGAGAATGGCGAGAGAAGCACCCGTCCTTCGTGCCCTTCACGTCCACTGCCGGTTGGCACTGCTCTGTGCTCGCCTGCCTCACCCTGTCTATGCCACTGCAAAGATGGTGGTCAGAATTCTGCTGCTGTCACTCAACCAATGATGTCATCTGGCAGGGTGATTAGAACCACAATCTGGGCCTGAATAGCAGTTTTTATCGGTAGTAGTCATAGTAATCCACAGTAAAGACATGCATTTATCAATGTTCTCTCTGCAGGGCTAACGTTCAACATAAATAATTCTGGATATATAAAGTGATTAATTGCTACATTACTCAGCACATGCAACTACTGTTTCTTCCTTCTTTGTGGGGAAAAACCCCAAAGGGTAATTTTTTTAAGCACCTTATTGCCTTCATTTTGTCATCTTAAATTCCTTGAAATGGTCAGAGTCCATAGTGGCTGTTACTGTTCTTCAGATGACTAACACAGCTTCAGAACTGGCCTAAAGCTAAACTCTGTGTAGACTTTCTGTTATAAAACCTTAATGTATATATACACACAGCTGGTTTGAAGGGAATACAAGTGAACAGCACAGACGCAAGCGAATGGGGATTCAAACGAGGGAACTACAGAATGCCATGAAAATAGGTCATGAAAAACTTCACAAATATTTACCGAGTTCTGCTTGTAACTAGGAGGCCATGTAAGTGCTGAGGATGAGACAAAGGTCACGTCCCTATGGCGCTCAGTCCTGCAGAGGCACGGTCCCTGGTAGGTGTGACTGCGCTATCAGAGGCACATTCCAAGATAGCTGCAGAAGGAAAGAATCGGAAGGTCAATAAGGAAATGTCTTCTGGCAGAGCCTCGGTGGACTGAGCGTGGGGGAAGAGCTGCAGCTATGAAAGGTTTTATTATTCTAGTTCCTGACTGTGTACACGTCCTGTGTTCCAGTGAGGCAGCGCCCAGGCAGTTACCACAACGTCCTCAGGACTGTTTCCTACGAGACCACCTGAGAATCGTCTTATTAAGAGTTCACACTGTACTTACTATGTGTTTATGACAGATCATTAAAATCAGTTCAAATAAAGGAACCTGGTTACTTCTAAAAAGCTTGAGGCAGGGATTCTAGTTCCCATTTTACAGAGGAGAAAACTGAGGTGGAAAGAGGTCACTTCGTTTGTCCAAGGTTGTACAGCTGGCACTTGGCAAGACAAGAATTTACCTAGCTGTCCACAACCTGTTCTTAACTACCTGAAACGTGGGCGGGCAAGGTTACGTAGTGAGACCGCACTCCCCTCCCTACAAAGCTTCTAAATTCTTACCCCCATGTTGTCTGGGCACTGTGTAACAGTGCTTCAAGGGTGAACACGGCGTCTCTTTCCCGTCCTCCGGGAATTTGTGGCCATTAAGCACTAGAACGTGCCCTAACGCAGGTTCTCAACCTTGCCTGCTTCCTCCCATTTCCTGGAGGCCATCACTTCTCCAACCAGGTGAGGGCTGATGGGCGCGCAGACAAGGACTCTGACCGGCTGTGACCTGGGCCAGGCGACACAGGGAAAGGAATGCCGACCGTTGTCCCTGCAAATCCCTTCCTCCCAGCTTCCGCTTAAAATGGAGGAAATTGGGGCTGGGTTCCTTCCCGCATCGGCTCCATGACTACCAGCCTTTCCCCCTTTCTCCCTTCCCTGGCCCGTCTGGCCCAGCCCACAGTCGCGGTCCAGCGATCTGGAGGTGCTGTCCCGTGGCCGGCAGGATCCCCAGGACACTGCTCGCTCCCCGTCGCGTCTGCCCCGACCCCTCACACCCAGGCACGGAGCCCGCCGTGGAACCCCCTTGCACCGCCATTTTTGGGGTGGGTTCCAAGACCATGGAGACCCCTACATGTGCACCCAAGCGCTAGGCCCGGAGCCACTCCTGGGCCCTGAGCCCTCAGGCGGGGAAGTAAGGGGCGGCCTGGAAGGTTCGATGGCGCGCAGCACTGGCCCTCAAGCTCACAGGGCACCACCACGGCCTCGGCCCCTTTGGTCGAGCTCTCAAGCCCGACCGCGGCCATTGTGCTCAACTGCCACGGCCTCAAGGCCAGCGGGCAAACGGTCTCCCCGTCGCTCACATTCATGTTTCTACGAGGTCAAGCACAGAAGCGACACTGCTGCTTCCGCCCTGCAGCCCGCTAGAACGCGGAACGAGGAGACTCGGCGGAGCCTGGCGGCAGCCGCGAGCCTCCGCGCGCCGGGTCACGTGGGCCGCGCAGCCCGCATGGCGGCGGCCCGCGCGCCCCCGCGCCCCCGCGTCTCGGCCCGCCCCGCCGCCCGGGCGCGCGCGCCGACGGGGCGGGCGCATGCGCAGGGGGGCGCGCCGCCTCTGCCCCGCGGCGAGGGTGTCTATGGAGAGGCGGCGGCCGCGGCTGCTGAGGCAGTGGCGATGGCGCCGTTCCCTGAGGAAGTGGACGTCTTTACCGCCCCGCACTGGCGGATGAAGCAGCTCGTGGGGCTCTACTGCGACAAGGTAACAGCGCGCGGGCCCTCCGGCTGCGGGCGGCTGCGGGCGGCTGCGGGCGGCGCGGGCGGTGCGGGCGGCGGGGAGGCGAGGGCCGCGTCCCGGGGCGGCCGGGCCTGTGCGGAGCCCCGAGCCCCCAGGGCCGCCGCGGCCGCGCCTGGAGCCGCCTGCGCAGCTGTCAGCGCCGGCCGCTCCTCCCGCAGCTTCCCCCGGCAGCCTGGGAGCGTGGCCGCCCTCGGGGCGCGGGGGCCCGGCGGGCGGAGGGGGCCGCCGCGCTGCGCCCTTGGGGAGCGGGGCCTCCGCACCCACCGCACCCCACGACGCCTGCGTGCGCTCGGGCCGGCCACCTGCGTGGGGTCCCCGTGCGCCCGGGATGGGGTCTGCCGCTGGCCTCCCCCGACCCCAGCCCGGCCGCGGCCGGGTTCGGGGGGCTCCCCGAGGCGTGTGCGTCTGGACCTCTCGCCTGCGGGGCGGCTTCTTCCCGTCCGGCTAGCTGGCCGATTTGGGGAGGAAAACCAGGTTTCGGAACTTGAGCAGCCCTGGCTTCTCGCGTCCCTGGAGGCTCTTACTGCCCAGAGCGTTTTCTCGCTGTTGATTTCGTTAGGAGACGACAGCTCCTCTCTGTTGGAATTCTTAGCAAGACTTCGGTAAAGGGGGCCTCGGCAGAGCTTGGTTTAACCCACGGCGAGACCCTTCCTCAACTGTTGCTGCTGCAGCTTGGGCTGGCGAGTCGCTTTTCTGCAGGGAGTTTCAGGGTCTTTTGCTCGTGGTTTTTAGGGCCGTGAAGAAGCAGTTACCACCTGTGTGTGTGGGGGGGGAAGGCTGATGAAATCCTGGAAACCTCACGCTGGCCCGTTTCTTGTAGAAATGAACCACAGGAAACGCATCTACAGGATTGTTGGTAAAACGCAGAAGCCAAGTTCTATGAGTACTGAGGAACTGTGTCACCTTAAACGTAACACTGTGACAGAAAGGGGGTCTGGGGGTCGGGGGAGGATGCGCCGAGCGTTGGGTGCTGGACCGCACTCAGCAGTCCTTAAAGCGCTGACGCCGAGTTGGAGTTCTCAGTATCCTGTTGAAAACCTCTTCTCCCTTGCTCCACTTTAAAAGTTAAATAAACAGATAAATAGCTAAAAGATTAGATGTGATTTTAAAGACTGGGAGTGTCAACCCTGCTGCTTAGATGGCTTCGAGGGCTGCGACTCCTGCTACACAGATGCTAAAATGAGCTCACCTGAGGTTGGGACCCAGAGGTGGGACCCCGGGGGAGAGCAGCTTGGGGACCGGGAGAGGACCCTTCCCGGGAGGGGATGAAGGCGTGGGTAAGTCCTGACTTTCCCAGTCGGCTCTGTTGTACGCTTTTATCCCTGTGGCTTTGGATCTTGTTCACCCTGACAGTGGCCTCCCATTGCAGGAAGGGGAGAGTAGGCAGGGTTCTCACTGCCCGACCGGAGGAGGGGTGAGTGAGGACTCCTGCGTGTGGGCTGGAGAGGTGGGCTTGGAGCCTGAGAGCATCCTGAGCCCTTGAACATGTACACGTGTTCCTGGGGGCTTTGTAGCTTGCTTCAGATTTCCAAAAAATCACTGTTTCACTTGGCTGACTTCTAAACTAACTAGGCTTATTTAAACATTTTGTGGGGATCAAGTCACTGTTTTTATGTCTCGTCTTGGTGACTGAGAACATTCGAATAAATTTTGAAATTGCTGTTAACTATAAAAAAGAATATGTTATCTAAAGCAAGTAAGATTTTCAATAGTTAAATGCTTTTCTTCTTCCATATCGAGTTTAATAAAGTGTTTTTAATATGACATAATATTAAGTCCAAATTATCACTAACTGAATTTGGTAGCTGTAGTCAACGAGATGTTGGATATAGTCATCATGATGATTAAAAGTCCAGTTTTCTGAACGAGGACTTGATGATTTGGGGGGAAAAAAGCTATGAGTTCTTTACCTGATTTCTTCTCAGTACTGGTGTTGGGGTAAGTCTCTGAGCATGCTCTTTGGGATCTGGAGTGAAAAGCGAGTATGTGGTGATGGCTGACCGGCCTCTGGCGGAGGGCCTTGTTTACTTGTGTTTACTTGTCATTTCAGTCTCTGCCGTCACAATTCTTCGGTTGCATAGACCAAGGATATCCAACCCAAACGGGAAACAGTAAAGCCATACAAAATGAAAACTAGTTTTTATACTCAAAAGGCATAAAATGTCTCCTTTAACTGTATTCCGCATTTTTGCTTGGAATTGCCAGTGAGAATTTATGCATATTAACATACCGAATTTTTCAACTGCAGAATTTTTTTCAAATATTTATTTGAAAGGCAGAATTATAGAGAGAGGAGAGATAGATAGGTCTTTTACTCCCCAGCTGGCTGCAAGGGGCTGGAGCCGGGACATAGCCAGGATCCCGGAGCTACTTCTGGGGCTCCCCTGTGGGGATAGGGGCCCAAGGGCCTGGGCCGTCCTCTGCTGCTTTCCCAGGCCACAAGCAGGGAGCTGGATGGGAAGTGGAGCAGCTGGGGCACAAAGCTGTGCCTGGATGGGATCTCCGTGCTTGAAGGGGGAGGGTTATTTAATTGAGCCAATGCCCCCAGGCTCTTACTTATATTTAAAAAATTTTACCTTTTGAAAAAGATGTATTTTTTTCCCAGTTGACTATCACAGCCATTTGGGCCAGACCCAGGGCAGCAGACAAGCAGCAGCAGGCTTGTCCCTGTCGTGGGTGGCAGGGTCCCAGGTACTTGGTCTGTCTTCTACTTCCTCGGAGCGTTAGCAGGGAGCTGGATAAGACACTGAGTAACTAGGACTTGAAACTGCACTGGATGTGAGGCGTGCAAATGGTGTCAACGTGCTGCGCCACAGATAATTATTCTGAAGTTGTTACAGTCTCTTTTTTTTTTTTAAGATTTATTTATTCATTTTATTTTTATTGCAAAATCAGATGTACAGAGAGGAGGAGAGACAGAGAGGAAGATCTTCTGTCCGATGATTCACTGCTCAGGTTGCAGCAGTGGCCGGTGCTGCGCTGACCTAAAGCCAGGAGCCAGGAACTTCATTCCAGGTTTCCCATATGGGCACAGGGTCTCAAGGCTTTGGGCCGTCCTCAGCTGCCTTCCTAAGCAGGGAGCTGGATGGGAAGTGGAGCTTCTGGGATTAGAACCGGCACCCATATGGGATCTCAACGTGTTCAAGGTGGGAACCTTAACGGTTGCACTATCACTCTGGGCCCCAGAAGTTGTTACAGGTTCTTTACTTACTGTTTTGTGATACCTAATTTAATAATTTTTTCGTGGATTTTTCTCATTTTATGAAAGGCTTTATGGAAAGTTTTTTTTAACCTTTTTTTGAAGATTTGTTTTTAAATTTTTATTGGAAAGTCAGATATACACAGGGGAGTTAAAACAGAAAGGAAGATCTTCCATCTGTTGGTTCACTCCCCAAGAGGCTGCAGTGGCCAAAGCTCTGCTGATCTGAAGCCAGGAGCCCAGAGCCTCCTTTGGTTCTTCCACGCGGGTGCAGGGTCCCAAGGCTTTGGGCTGTCTTCTACTGTTCTCCCAGGCCACAGGCAGGCAGCTGGATGGGAAGTGGAGCAGCCAGGATTAGAACATGCACCTATATGGGATTCCGGCCATGCAAGGTGTGGACTTTAGCCGTTAGGCTACTGTGCAGGGCCCTTTTTTTCTAACCTTTGTTATACTGACAGTATGTTCTGAGGTAGGTACGAACAGAGGGGATGTTTCTGTTTATAGCTAGGGGATTGTGAGCCTAAAGTCCTGGGTGAAGGTCATATGAAAAGGGACAGATTCAGATGGAAATTCATGTTAGCGTTGTGGCTCCTAGCCTTGTTTTCTGGGTATGAAGTTATAGTACCTGTGTTTCTAATTTTGGGGGTTATCAATCTGCTAAGAATTCTTTATTTGCTTATACTGATCTCTAATTGGGGTAATTATAGTGAAGATTAGCATTAAGTGAAATTTCTTATTTTACCCTAGTCCCTCAGTGTTTCCTCTGATTGTTTTTTTTATTTTTTTAAGATTTATCTATTTTTATTGGAAAGCCAGATATACAGAGAGGAGGAGAGACAGAGAGGAAGATCTTCCGTCCAATGATTCACTCCCCAAGTGAGCGCAATGGCCAATGCTTTGCCAATCCGAAGCCAGGTGCCTCTTCTGGGTCTCCCACGTGGGTGCAGGGTCCCAAAGCTCTGGGCCGTCCTCGACTGCTTTCCCGGGCCACAGGCAGGGAGCTGGATGGGAAGCGGGGCTGCCGGGATTAGAACCAGCGCCCATATGGGACGCTGGGCGTGCAAGGCGAGGACCTTAACCACTGCGCCACCGCGCAGGGTCCCTGGATTTTTTAGAAGTCAATGTTTTTGGTGTTTCTTCTCTGATTCTGCTGCTTGTCACTGGCTCTGCCATTTCACGTGCAGTGTTGACTGCGCTGCAGTGTCTTCTTGAATGTTAAGTCTCCCAGGAAAACGGCCTACAGAGTAGACGGGGTTTTGGGTTTTTACACACAGTTTCTGTGTCTAATTTTTGGCTTTTTTCCAGTGACACGTTGGTTTTGATAATCACTTTTAGAGCAGGCTGTAATTCCAGTGTTTTCAATAGCAGTTTAAGGTAAAACGTTACTAATACTTTGTAATACAGACAAATCCATGTTACTTTGAACTGTCTGTTGATTATGTAGAATCCTTACTGAATTTGTGAAGCACAGAGTATATACCAGATAGGTCACTGGGAGCCTTTGCATTCTACTGGTTTTCAAAGTATGCCCTGGGGACCACCTGCTGTTGTAGTTCCCAGGTTAAGTGGCTGCTTGTGATGCTAGCATTCTATATGAGTGCACCTTGCTTCCCCGTTTCGGTCCTTGCTCTGGTGCCTGGTGAAGCAGCAGAAAATGGCTCACATGCCTATATCCCTACCACATGTGCAACGTGAGACCCAGCTGGAGTTCCAAGCTACTGTCATTGGCCTGGGCAACCCTGGCTGTTGTGAAGTGAACCTGTGAATGCAAGAGTTCTCTCTTACTTCCTCTGTCTTTCAAATAAATAAATCTCTATACAAAATTAAATGTATCCTACTGCCCATTTGCAGGTCAAAAATCAACCCAAAAAAATAAAGCATCAGGGTACCTCGCAGAATAGAGAGGGAAGCCTCCCGAGAGGTGTGTGGAGTGTGGAGTGTGTGTGATGTACCTGGGTCCGGATTGCGTGTGTTTCCTACTGGAGAGTGTGTGTAACAATGTTTGACTAACACTTCCTTGGAGCTGTGCTTCTCAACCAGAGTGCTCATTGGCATTTGGGGCCCCTGGAGCCTTTTTTTGGAGGTCGGCTCTGTGCCTCGGAGGATGCTTAGTCACGTCCCTCGTTTACCCGCTAGGTGTCAGTGTCACTTCTCCTGGGTGGCACCGACACAATCCAGAACTAGCCCTCTGCCCCCTAGGGGTGCCTGTAGGCAACTGTTGCCTTTAGATCCAGCATGCTCACAATTCATTCTTTTGGCTTTGTGAAGATGACTTTATGATTGGAATTGTTGTATCTTACAGAAAGAATGTAAGTGTTGGAGGCAAAGAGATCTGACCTCTGCTTTGTTGCCTGCTGTGTAGTTGTATAATTTTAGGTTATTTCTCTGAACCTCACTTTTTAAATGTATGAAGATTTTAATGTCTAATTCCTGTGATTGCTTTAACAATGAAATATCTAAAACACCTACTATAGCATTTAATATCTTGTAGACCTCAATATGTCTCACAAATTATGATTGTCCTGTTTATTTTTTTCTTAATCAAGTTTGTATGTTTGAATAACTTTGTGGAGGCAAGCAGTGTTTTAAAAAATGTTTATTTAAACTGATCATTAGAAAGATCACATGTGCTGTTATTCTTATAACCTCCGAGTCTGTTAAACTAAGGTGTCTGATTCAAAACATTTGTGTTGTGGTGCAGTGGGTTAAACTACTACTCGTAACGCCCACAGCATATTGACAGAGTGCTTGTTCAGGTCCTCACGTCGTTGTTCCTGATCCATCGTGGGAGGCAGGAGGTGATGGTTCAGGTGCCTGGTCCCCGCTGTCCATGTGGGAGGCCACAATGAGGCCTGGCAGTTGGTGGGCACTTGGGGAGTGAGACAGCTGATAGATGGTCCCAGTGTCTGTCTATCTGTCCTGAAAATATAAACCTTTAAAAACTTGGCCCTTTTCACATTGGACAAACTTGCTTGGGTAGTAACTTTAAGGCTGACTGTGCTTTTGTTTTCAGTTACTGAAATCAACATGCATGTGGAGGAGTTCAAACAAGGGAAGGCCTTTCTAGCCAGTTGTATATACTTCTCTGTGCTCATTCAAGAATATCATTTTTCTTTTTTTCTATTTTTCATATTTCAGAAATAGAATGTATTTGAAAGGCTGAGTTAGAGAGCAAGAGGCGTTGCAGGCGCAGGTCCATCAAGCATAGATGAAGTTACTAAGAATAGTCATTTTCTCTCGGGGAATACTAGAAATGAAATGCTATGAATGTATTTCTCTATGTTTTTATTGGTTTGTATCTTTCAAGTTCATTTTCTTTCTTGTGATGTATTAGGTTTCCGCATTGCAGTAATGTAATGCATCCAAACTTAGAAAACTAGATGCTTCAACTACTAGGTCTTTTATGTTACTTCTCTGTAAAAAAAAAAAAAAAGTACTGGCCATAAAATTATCTGAAGGCATTGTAGTGGCTCGATATTTTATGAACATCTCCTGCATAGATCAGTCTTGTTTTTGATATTAAAGTTTAAACTATAGTAGGATTTAAAAAAATTTTTAGTTGTAAAGATAGAATAATAGCATGAAGAATGTTTTGAGTGAAGAATAAAGCTCGTATATCAATGCAATTGTTTTAATATTTACATGTTTCTTTGATGTGCGTGCCTGTGTGTAATTCCCATAAAGAGTTAATGGAATTTAAGGTTTGGAGTGGTCTTGCCTAATTCCTTTTATTTAAAGAAACTATGTGATTTGTGCCTGTATCTTTTTTTTTGAATTACCAGATTCCTCAGAATGCAAACCTTTTTCTGGCCTATTGAACTTCTTATTATACAGTCTTAATTTATGAATTTGTAAGAGCAGTGTCTTGGTGTGTAGTTAAGTAAATTGGAATGCATTTGTATTTTTCTTATTAGCACATGTTTGCATGTACGTATTATGCTCTTCTGTTGCACTTTTTGTTTAGCTTTCTAAAACCAACTTTTCCAACAACAATGATTTCCGTGCTCTCCTGCGGTCTCTGTATGCTACGTTCAAGGAGTTCAAAATGCATGAGCAGATTGAAAACGAATACATCATCGGCTTGCTTCAGCAGCGCAGTCAGACCGTCTATAACGTACATTCTGACAATAAACTCTCAGAGATGCTTAGTCTCTTTGAAAAGGGACTGAAGAATGTGAAGGTAACTTTCAAATACTGGTATTTAACAATCATAGTTTATACCAGATTATGGTACATCACTGTCAAAATTTGTTAGCAATCTAAACTTCAAAATAAAATTGATTGGGGCCAGCATGGTGGCACAGCAGGTTATTTTGAAGTTTAGTGCACATATAGTGTTTATTGTGTTTTGTTTTTCTCGTGGTAGGGAGTAGGGTTGGATAAGCAGGATCGTTTTAAAGTTTTGTGATTAATTTTATAATTTTTGTGTATAGTTTAGAGTAATGATATTCTCTACTTTATATTTCTATATTGTATTTGAAATTTGATCTTGCATATTTCTCTTCTGACTCAGTGAAATGAAGATTTAGCTTACAGCTCCGTCCAACCGTCCCGCCTCCTTAGAGAATGGTGTTGTAGCAAGGCTGTAGAGCAGGGAGGACAGTGGGTCCGAGGGGAAAGCTACAGAAACGTTATTCTGACAGTGTGGAATGCGTGGTGCTGCCTGAGGAGATGGCAGGCTGTGTGGGTGCTGCAGAGCGACAGAGGGAGGTGTATTTTCCTGTTGCAAACTCCTTTGTGCTCTTTGGATTGTGTATCATATTCATCTGTTACCTTTTCAGGAAGGTATGAATCAGAAATAGGGCAAGGGACAAACTTGACAGTTTTGTTAGAAATGCAGTTGATAGAGGACAGTGATTGTATCTAATGAGAGGGAAAATAGAATGAAGTCTGTGTACAGAGTGTTAGGAGGGTTGGATCGGTTAGGTTTGAACTGCTCTGTAGTCCAGGTGTGCGGTTATTATTTAGGGGAGGGAGAATGGATAACTTTCAAGGTAACAAAAATCATCTGATGTAGAAAAAGCAAATTTGATAATTACTAAAGCGTAAAATGGACCTGGAAGTAACATGGTTATGCTCAAAGTGTGTAGAATCCTGAGAGAATGAAATGTTGTGTTTGTGAAGCGGTTGGATGGATTAGCTCAAGAAAAGGAGGCCGAAGAGAACTCCGGCGGCAGTGACAGAAGCATGGCCTTGCTAATTTGTTGTTGTTACTGTTGTTCATATAGAACACGATAATCTGATCTAACACCTAAGTTTTGATATTCTAGTACTTTTTGAAATGCATGAAAATCTAAAGAAAACATGCCCATATTTCAGGAGTTTTTATTATTGTGTAATTGTCTTTGAAATTGAGGGCTGGTATGGAAATGCTGGATGAGTTTCAGGGAAGCAGGTCTTAGTTCCTGTGAGGAAGAACTTGTTAGCTGTTCCGAGTTGTCAGGGTTAAGGTGTCATGAACCTCGTGCCTGTGGAAGTGCTGGTTCTGATGTGTGTGTGCGTCTGTCCAGCTCACGTGACGGTCACTGTGGACAGTGGTGAGCACGTGCCGGGTGAGCGTGAAGGGATTCTGTGATGTGTGTGCGCGTCTGTCCAGCTCACGTGACGGTCACTGTGGACAGTGGTGAGCACGTGCCGGGTGAGCATGAAGGGATTCTGTGATGTGTGTGCGCGTCTGTCCAGCTCACGTGACGGTCACTGTGGACACTGGTGAGCGTGTGCCGGGTGAGCGTGAAGGGATTCTGTGATGTGTGTGCGCGTCTGTCCAGCTCACGTGACGGTCACTGTGGACACTGGTGAGCGTGTGCCGGGTGAGCGTGAAGGGATTCTGTGATGTGTGTGCGCGTCTGTCCAGCTCACGTGACGGTCACTGTGGACACTGGTGAGCGTGTGCCGGGTGAGCGTGAAGGGATTCTGTGATGATGTGCTGAATGCTCTGGAACACGTTCAGATTACTGGCCCGTGGTAGTTATATGAAGGCATAGGTTAGAAATCAGATCAGTGGAGGTTTCCAGAAGAAACCTCTCAATTTTAGACTTTTATGTGTTAAGAAAGTAGTAAATTACATTTCCAAAGAAATTAAAAAATGTGTATTTTGAATCTGATCACTCTTTCATGTTGATAAAGTAGAGACCACTGCTATTTGTCAGTTTTTTCTTTTGAGGTTTTGTGTTGCATTTAAACTAACTTTGCAGGATCAGGGACGGTATACATAATGAATATAAAATATATATTTTTTGGTTTCTAGAATGAATATGAGCAGTTAAATTATGCAAAACAGCTGAAAGAGAGATTGGAGGCTTTTACAAGAGATTTCCTTCCTCACATGAAAGAGGAAGAAGAGGTAAGTATGATTTATACTCCTTGTTTAAATTCATAAAATCTTGCAAATACTTTATCTTAGAGTCTTGAAAATAGACTGTATAGATCTGTAATTCCAGCTAATGGAGAGAAGCCTTCAGTTTCTTTTGGAAACTAAAAGACAAAGAAAAAAAAACACCCAAGAAGGGAAAGCGTTTGTTTTGTTTCCGTAGAAGAGTCGTTGACTCGTGCCCGATGCCTGTATTAAGGATTTCATTGTATAGGTAGGCAAGACATCTCCCCTTTTCCCTTCTAATATGGGATGGATATTAGCGTGATGCATAGAGAAACACTGGGGACTGCATAGCTGTAATGCTGCCAGTACAGTGATTGTTAATCTCATAGTCACTGATAGTAAAAAAGACAGCTACCTGCTTCTTAACCCCTGTCCAGACAAACTAAATGGGATAGTAAGCATTGGAATGATTTTTTTTTCCAGGACTTCCAAATTTAACATAATCAGCCAGCTTTGAAACCAGTGTTATTAGAGCAGTGTTTCTTAAGCCATGATGCCTCATCAAAATGATCTGTGGAGGGCAGCCCCATGTCCCAGCAGCTCAGCTGATGACCTGTGGTGTGCCCTCATGGTTCAGTGCCTGGAGTACACCCAGCTGTGTTCTCCGTTTCAGCCTCTGGCTGATGCTCACCGTGGGAGGCAGCAGGTGCTGGCCACCTGCGTGTGGGAGACCTGGATTGAGTTCCTAGTCCCGGGTTTGGGCTGGTCCAGACCTCACTGCTGTAGGCATTCAGAGAATGAGCCAGTGCATGGGAGATAGCCTCATCGTTTCCTGCTTCTCAAATGGATGAATAAAATAAAAAATATTTATCTGTGAAATAATTGAAACCTTTGATTATACCACTCAAGATTCGTGTTATTTTATAAATTGGAAATTGGGACACACTTGTTTCACTGTTTGTGAATGATTATCCAGGAGTCACTATTGCAAAGTAGTGTATCCCAATTGCAGAAACATATCCAAAATCCTGAAAGTTCAAGATCTTGGTGGAATTCTGACTTTTTGGTTTCAGTACACTGAGTTTCATTCTCCTTTGAGGCAGAGGCCATGCTTGCGTGGAGTTACTACAGTGCTAGATGGGAGAAAACTGACCCATGTCTAAATGCTAAGTATTTGACGAATTCAGTGCAGGAAAATCTTGTGTTGATGCTTTAAATTTCCTTTGTGGGAGAAGCCAAGATTTTTTTTTTTTACTTTCTGAGATATATGGCCATGATAATATTCTTGAATCATTAGTACTATGAAAAATGTAGAGTAAAACAAAACTGATTAATCATGTTCCCTATGAACATTCTGTTTAATTTAGGTTTTTCAGCCCATGTTGATGGAATATTTTACCTATGAAGAGCTCAAGGATATTAAAAAGAAAGTGATTGCACAGCACTGCTCTCAGAAGGATGCTGCGGAGCTCCTGAGAGGACTCAGTCTGTGGAATCAAGCTGAGGAACGACAGAAGTTTTTTAAGTATTCTGTGGATGAGAAGTCAGATAAAGGTAGGATTGATACGTTAGAGAACAGTTTATTAGCTCAGGGCCTTTGATGTCTTGTTGATGTAATCTGTAGATTTTGTTTCAAGTATCTTTTAACTTAGGTTTGCAGTGTTAGTTGAAACCTTTTAAATCACTTATAAATTTAAATGAGAATCATAGTTTCTATTTAAAATTTTAGCGACTTTTTATGGGCTATCATGTGATGATGTTTTGATACATGTACATGTCATATAATGTTCAGTTTAGGCAGTTTCTGTTTCATAGTTTGGTAGTTTATCGTATACTTGGATCATATGCAGTATAGTAGTGTTTCTTGAGTGAGTTTATATATGCAAATAGTAATAACATTTTGGCCAGCCAAAGTTAATGAAAACTAATAGATACAGAGAACTTTTACAGTATCATCCCACATTCTGGGTCCCATTGTGGCTATTTTTGTCTTTTTTGGTGTGTTTTTGTTTGTTTTTAAGTCATGCAGTTGGTCCCTGACAGGATTATTAGCTTAGAATCTCCTTGACTGTTTGAGGATGCAAAGTGGTGTGCATGTCATACTTCAGATTTTTCACTTTGGTCTCTTCCCAGGCATCAGTATATGGCCTGATCCTCTCTTGGGATGCTAGGCAGTGGTACCCAGCCCGCTGTTCCTCATCAGCTGTGCAGTCCTTGGGTAGAAAGCTGACACACCAGAATGTGCTCGCAAAACTAGGATGTTTAGTAGGCTGGATGAAGCAAATCTATTTTCAACTTACTGGGTTCTAGCCTCATCATAAGTTGAGGAACAAGGGGACTTTTATTTTTATCCTTTTTAGTGTATCATTCTCTGTTTCTATACAATTGTATCTGGGGGAGAAAGCATAAGATTCAAAGTTTTTCTCTGTGCAGTTACTTTGTGACTGATTGGGAAATGCAAATAAAATATGCCTGTTGTTTTTTAAAGTATAGATTACTTCATTTCTTGTTTATCTTCAGTAATTTTACACTTTAAGACGTAATTGAACAGTTGGAATCCTCAGTTTACTAAAAATTTCTTTTCTTCCTGGTGAATGGTAGCAATGATTTTCATGTTAAAATAGCCTACACTTTTTGAAATTAGTCCTTCTTTCTTGTTTTTTACATTAAAGTAGGTGAGACTCATGTTGAAACAAAAATATCATAGCTGAAGCTATAATTAGATCCATAAAGCTTGTGTGCTGTACTCCGGGCTTGGACCTTAAATACCAAGCTAAGACCTGTTGGATCTGGTTTAATTGTAATTATAACATGGGATGCAAAAGCATCATGCTTGTTACGTTTAATGTTCTTACTCTTTCAAAGCAAATTACAGCTGTTATGTGTTTTAAACTATTTTGGCATTTTAAGAGCAGTAGTCAAGCAATTTGGTCTTCATTTCTGTAGTTAAAAGTTGCTTTGTGAGGACATCTGATAAGCAAGATTCTTAAATTCTTTGTAGTAGAATTTACTATAAATCTCAATTCCTCATTTTCCTTTTTCTTTCAAAAAATTGCTGCTGAAGTTGCATGTTATAGGAAATACATCCAGTGACTGAACTTGCTATGATAGTTCCTTACGGAAGATTCCTTAGCAGTGTCATTCAGCATCAGAACTGTTTATATTGTGTCATTTGGTGTATAACATAGGCAAAGTGGTTTATAGGCTGTTGGGTCAGATTTCACAGAGCTTCTGTGTGAGAGATGACAGAGAATGTGGTACCTGAATTGAAAATGTGGTGGTGGTGGTGGTGTGTGTGTGTGATTAAAACGCCTTGGAGAACCCATCGTCTGGCCTGCTGTATACTTACTGATTTCAAGTTGTATAACCTGTTTGGTTCTTTTCCTGATGATGCTGCTCAGCTACAAAGTGAGCATTGTACTGCGATGCCTTTTATAAGAGGAAGTCAGTTCTGTATTCACCATTGTAGCTCCTGCTGATGAAGTACGATTTGACCATGACAGTTTAACCCTACAAATCTTAACAACTTTAACATCCTCATGGGACCTGTAATACATGTTACTTCCTATTCACATCTTGCGAACAGGAAGGAATTAACTGCAGGCACTGGATTTTATTTATGGAAATGTGATGTAATTTCTTACTATGTTCTTAAAGACATTACTGATAATCTTTTTCTTTTTATTTCAGAAGCAGAAGTATCAGAACACTCCACTGGTATAACCCACCTTCCTCCTGAGGTAATGCTCTCAATCTTCAGTTACCTTAATCCTCAAGAACTGTGTCGATGTAGTCAAGTCAACACTAAATGGTCTCAGCTGGCAAAAACCGGATCACTTTGGAAACATCTGTACCCTGTTCATTGGGCCAGAGGTAAGTAAATGGGACTTTAAGTTTGCTTTAATATTTTAATGTGTTTTTTGGTATTTATGTGTTAAAACCCATTAAAAGCAAAATCAAGGAAGGAAGCTGAGAGATTGACCACATATAGGTTTCATTGTTAGGTGATGAATTCTTGGTGTTTCTGAAAAGCGTTGAAATGTTGAAACGTTCCTGGCTAAATGATATGGTAATGGAATACATGGAGATTCATTGTATGAGTTTTTCCTATATTTGACTATATTTAAGATTTTTCATAATAAACACGTTGCAATAAAATTGATAGATTCTGAGAACTGTTTTAAATAGATTATTTGAGTATTTTAAAAACAGTTCTACAAAATTTAAAGACAACATTGTGGCTTGTCTTGCTGGCGGCACAATTAATTTTTGTTTATAATGTATCTTTTTGTGATTATTAATTCTCCATTCTTAAATCACTGTTTGGTTCCCTTTGTTGTGGTAAGTTACTTGGACATGTGAGAGAACATTTTATTCTCATGAGCATGTAGTGCAGCCATGGCATTAACACAACTTAGTGCCATCTTCTGTCATTGAATTAAAAGTTTCTTCTGTGTGTTAACCTAAATATTTACATTTTTTATGGCTTTCTGTTTTATGAAACTTCAGCATGGAAATATGTGGTTATCACATTTTATATCTGGTTTAAATTATGAATATGATTTAAAGACAGTTTTATTTATTACAATAGTATATAACATTTAAAAGTAATACATATTTAATACTTTTTAGTCAAGCTATTTGTAGTATTGGGTATGTTTGTATGATCCACATAATTAGAATTATTTTATCTGGAATAATTTTTTTGCAGTAGGACAGTGAAACATTGAATGAGCAGTTAAATAAGGCAGATAGAGATGTATCCGATTCCCTTTTGTTTTCAATTCAGAATTAAAACATAGGAATATTCTGATACTGCTAGTAGTGCCGGTGCCCCAAATGTAAATACCCTACCTATTTTTCAGTTTTTAATGTATCTAAGCAAGAAATTCCAATAAAAATGGTTTTTATTTATGGAATTTGTTCTGGGTGGTTTTGAGTCCAAACTGATTTTTTTTTAAGGTATAATTTTTTTTAGAAAATCAGACAGTGGAGGAGAGACAGAGAGGAAGGTCTTCCACGTGATGATTTCACTCCCTGAGAGGCTGCAGCGGTTGGAACTTTGCCGATTCCAGGCCAGGAGCTTGGATCCTCTTTCAGGTCTCCTACACAGCTGCAGAGTCCCAAGGCTTTGGGCTGTCCTCAATTGCTTTCCCAGGCCACAAGCAGGGAGTTGGATGATAAGCAGGGCTGCTGGGATTAGAACCGGTGCACATATGGGATCCCGGTGCACTCAAGATGAGGACTTTAGCTGTTAGGCTATCGTGCCAGGACCCCAAATTGATTTTTTTTTCTCTAAAAGCAAGCAATGTGTAGGCATTTTTGTTTGGTACATATTTATGGTTTATGGTGGAATCTAGTGGGTAAAAACCAGGTTGCTGACAGCCTCCCTCTGTCCCCAAACCCCTGTCGCTGTCCTGCAGCGATGGACTTGGTGCACGGAGCCGATAATAACATGCGTGGACCCTGACTGATGGTCAAAGCCGAAGTTTATTAGTGGCATCAGACTTTATACACTGAGGGTCATATGGGATAAGTGAGGAAGTATTGAGCTCATAAACAAAACCCAGTAACAGTTTCTATGTTTTTGTTTGGAACTCCTTTTGTCTTGTATATTCCACCAAGTGTTCTCACACACATACTGTCCATTCAACTGTTCTTATACAAATGATATCCAATCAGGTATACAAAAGGTGGCCATTCGGTTGTTCTCATGCAAATATTAGTCAATCAACTGTAATCCTGTGCTCACTGACCTTCTAGGGTCACAATGTCTTCCTACAACCCCCACCTCCAACAAAGAATGATCTGTCAGGAGCCAAGTGTTATGGACTAGTGACTTAACCCGCCACTTGGTCCTACTGCTCTCATAATCCAACTCCCTCCTTGTGCATATTGCAGGCAGTGGAATAATGGCTCCAGTGGCTGGGCACTGGCACCCACAGGGAGACGCAGGTGGAGTCTGGGGTTTCTGGCTTTGACCTGGTCTGCCCTGAAAGTTCAAACCTCTGTCTGCCCTTTGAAGTAGATGAAAATAAGCATTAACTACCTGACACCTGGCAGGTCACGTAGGCAGACCACTCCTCAGGAAGGAAGTACCTGGTGTTTGATAAGATTCACAGCCCAATAGCTTATCAATTTGTACTTTTTGAAAGTTGCTTGTTTCAAACCCACCAATAGAAGCCTGCTAAGTCATGACTGTATAATTAATAGCCTGAAACGTATAAGAACTGGGGGGCTTGGGCTCTTCCCTCGCTCTTCAGGCTCTCGCTTCTTTTGTCCTCCTTGTGGATCCTTGCAGCCTCGGCTGCGGCTGCCCCTCCCCCGCCCAGCCATGCTGGGCTGGGGGAGGTCGCTGGGTTACCTAGGCTAACCTGAATAAACCACCTTTTTGCCTCAGCACCGACTTCAGACTTGATGATTATCTGGGGGTTTCAAAAAAACCGGCACAACAGAAATAATAACAAAACCATGAAATTCTCTGGGCAAAAATGTGAATAATGTTAAGGTTATGAAGCCTTAATTTAGATGTAATGTGGAGTGCAGTGTATTAATTCTGCATTGTGTCGCACTTTACAATAGTAGTGTATGTTCCAGAATTTCTGTATGTATAGCTTTGCTTTTGAATTGTGTCCTTACTTCTGAGTTTCTCGCAGATTGACTACAGAGCACAAAGGCCAGCATGTTCTTGCTTGTTAGCTAGCGTTGAGGTGGACCTGTTGCAGGAGCCAGGTGAAGTCACAAGAGGGGAGGAAGGTTAGGTAAAGTCTCATGTAGGGCCATTGATAGGTACTTTTTCTAGAAATGAAACTATAATTTTGAAGTCTATTCTGGAAAGAATAAAAATTGAGAAATGGCAAGCTATGTACATTTTTGTATTTATAGTTTTAGAGAATTTACTTCAGGAAATGTGAACGGTTCACTAAGTATTATTATTAACTGAATCCATAAGTCATACTTTTTTTCAGTATGAAAACTGAATTTAATTTTTACGTTGTTTGCATAATTGGAAGGGATGTGTGTCCTTGTGGGGGTCTTGATTAAGGTGGGAAGGATCCAGGTATGGAGGAAGGTAGGTGGGACAAATGGTTCTTTTTTTTTCTCCTGTGTCCTCACACAGGGAAGGTAAGGGGACTACTCCTTGTTGTCAGTCTGCATCAGCAGCCGGGGATGGGGGACAGTCGTTTGATGACACCTTAGAGACCCTGATGTGGAGAAGAGTGTTCCAAGTGCATTACTTGAGAGCTTTTCTTAGTTCTAAGATGTTGTAGGCTCTGTTGCTCCAGGGTTGAGAAAGTCTTTTCAAGGTCTGTTGACTGACCAAGTCCACTTTAGTACATTCCCAGGTCCAGGATGTTGTTGCAAAGCTTGGCCAAGGAGAGTGATCCAACCTGTTCTGCTTTCTATCCCCCAAGGACTTGGCACTCAGCGTCCTCTGCTGGCCTAGGTGAGCTGGCTGTCATGTCCACTGTGTGCTTCCTCTACCAGCACTAGCAGCTAAGGAGATCCACTTCCTATACATACACTCCAAGTTTGGATCACCTATTTTGTGATTTTTCCCTGTGGTCGGGTTTGAGTCTAACCATCTACTTGGAAAGTCTCTGAAGAAACCTTGCCTGGAGTGACCTCAGATTTGACTGTTGTGTTCGTACTGGCCCACCTGCAATTTCAGATCTTGCTTGTGGGTGTTGCAGCCTAGCCCAGCCATATGTGGCCTATACCTTGTCCTGGCTCTCTTGCATGCCTGCAGGTACTGTAGCCTGGCCTAGCCTGGCTTGCCCCCAGATGAGGCCCACACAAGTGCTGACGAGTATTGCAGACTTGCCTGTCTCTAGGCTCGCCACCAGCCCAGGCTCTTGTGATCCCCAATGGGAGCTGAGGCCTACCAGGAGTGTTTCCCTACCAGGCCTAGGATTTCATTAGTGCTGCAGCCCTGCTTGGCATGGTCTGCCTTCAGTCTTGGCCTTTGCATGTACCTGTGGGTGCTGCAGCCTGGTCCAGCCTGACTTCCTCCTAGCTCTGGCTCCCGTGAGTGTCAAGTGTGTTCTTGTCAGGTGAGTTCCGTGGTCCAGCCTGGTTTGGCTTGTTGCCACCCCTGGCTCTGTGCAAACCAGACTGCAGTCCCACTGAAGGGAGCCCACAATTCCCCTGCAGAAATCTGGTTCTCGTGTTCTGGTGGGTGCTGTGGCCCAGTCTGATGTGGTCTACTCCCTGCTCCGACGTAGGCTGGTACCGCAGCTTTCCCAAGCCAGGCATGCTCCCCAGCCCCAGCTTTTGCATGCACAACTGGGCAACAGGCAGTGTTATTTAGTCTAGCCCAGGTCCCACATGAGCCATGCATGCCCTGTTTTCTGCCTCCAGACCACTCCATCTCAGTTCCCTCCCCTACTTGCAAGTGCAGTGGCCTGGTCTGTGGAAATCCCCAGAAGTCATTCCTTGCCCGTCAAATATGCTCACAGCTGCTCCTACTCCAGATATGCTCCTCAGCACCCGCTCACTCCTGCCCAGGGGCTAGGGTGGTGTTCCCTGCCTTCTCTAGATAATCTTAAAAGAAAAAAGAGAGTAAGCAACTATGCTAGCACACTTACAGTTCACAGAGTTGGCATTAGCCAGGCCCAGAGTGCCTGCCAGCTGTCAATTGCTTTTCTTCCAGGAGGGTAACACTTGTCTAGGTACAAGGCAACCTAGGTGGTTGACTACAGCAGGGAGATACAGTTATACTGCTTTTCAGAATGTTTGAGTTGAATTCTTTGCTTGATCAGTATAATTTTTTAAAACCTGTAGTTTTTATAAAACTTTTTTTTAAAGAGCTTGTTTATTTTTCTTGAAAGAGTTACAGAGAGAGAGACAGGCAGAGACAGGGACAGGCACAGGGACAGGGAAAGACACACAGAGGAAGATCTTACATCTGCTGGATTACTCCTCAAATAGTTGGAATGGTTGGCTGCATTGGTACAAAGCTGGGAGCTAGCAGCTTCTTCCTGGTCTCACAAGGGGATGCAGATGCCGCAGGTGGTGGGCCATCTTCTGCTGCTTTTCCAGTCAGAGCTGGATCAGAAGTGGTACATCCAGGACTTGAGCTGGTAACCATATGTGATGCAGGTGTTGCAGGAAGAGGCTTGGCTTACTACGTCACAGCACAGGTCCTTACCTACAGTTAAATATTTCCAACAGGAGCTGATCGTTTCCTGTGCCTTGGATGTCAGATGTCTGTAGAGGCTTTTACTGTGAGTGCATCCGTAATCTAATCTGATTCCGTCCTTTATTCGTGGGCTAGGTGATTGGTATAGTGGTCCTGCAACAGAGCTTGATACTGAACCTGATGAAGAATGGGTGAAAAACAGGAAAGATGAAAGTCGTGCTTTTCAGGAGTGGGATGAGGATGCTGACATTGATGAAACTGGTAAGCCATCTTTAGAATTGAACTTATGTCTTTTAATAGTTTATATTATGTTTAACAATTACTAGGTATTAAGATTCATGTATTTTGTATTTTCTAAAGACTTTTTTCAAGTATTTATTTTGTTATTTGAAAGGCAGAGTTATAGAGTTGTTTCATCCCTGGTTTATTGCCTAAGTGGCCGGAACTGTGCCTATCTGAAGCCAGGAGTTACTTTGGGGTCTCATGTGGTAGCAGGAACCCAAGCACTTTGGCCTTTGTCTAGTGCGTTCCCAGACCATTAGCAGGGAGCTTGAACAAAGGTGGAACAGCTGGGACTTGAACTGGTGCCCATTTTGGATGCTGCTGCTGCAGCCAGAGGCTTAACTTGCTGAGCTTCTCCACCGACCACTGTTTTTGTCTTAAGATTAATTTGTTGGGCCTGGTGGCGTGGCCTAGTAGCTAAAGTCCTCGCCTTGAACTTGCGCAGGATTCCATAAGGGCACCGGTTCTAATCCTGGCAGCTACACTTCCCATCCAGCTCCCTGCTTGTGGCCTGGGAGGGCAGTCGAGGATGGCTCAAAGCTTTGGGACCCTGCACCCGTGTGGGAGACCTGGAGGAAGTTCCTGGATCCTGGCTTCAGATCAGCATAGCATCGGCCGTTGTGCTCACTTGGGGAGTGAATCATCGGACGGAAGATCTTCTTCTCTGTCTCTCCTCCTCTCTGTATATCTGACTTTGTAATAAATAAATAAATCTTTTAAAAAAAGATTCATTTGTTTATCTTGAAAGAGAGCGAGGGCAAGAGAGAGAAAGCTGCTTCTATCCACTGGTTCAATTCTCAGGTGGTTGCCATGGCCAGAGAGAGGCCAGGTCTGAATCAGGAGTCAGGACCTTCATCTGGGCCTCCACATGAGTGGCAAGGACTCAGGCTCTGAAACCTACTTTTTCCTGGGAACTTTATTAGAAGAGGAGTAGCTGGGATACAAACTGGCAAAACATCGCTGGCAGGGCCTTTACCCGGTACACCACAGTGCCAGCCCCTTTGTTCATTTTTGATTCAAGAGGCTGAGAGACAGTATTAAGAGAGGCAGAGGGAAAGAAAGCATCCGTCCATTGGTCTGCTTCCCAGATTCCCACAGTGGGCTCTGTCAAAGCTGGGAGTTGCAGACTCAGTCCAGGTCTCTCCTGGGTGCAGGGACCCATTTAAGGGAGACTTCACTGCTGTCTCCGCTGCCTTAGGGGAAGGTGGAGTCAAGAGCTGAATGTCAGCCCTGGATCTCAGTGCGGGACATGGTGGAATCCTGTAGGCTAACCACCCACTAAGAAGTCTACTCCTCTTTAAAACTTTTAAGAATGGGTATACAAAGGGAAGATTTATTTTATTATTTTTTCCTCCAGAGAATGCAGGGTTATTTTCTAGATTTTGGTTTTTATTTTTTGTAAGATTTATTCATTTTTATTTTTGAAAGACGTGTATACAGAGAGAAGGAGGAGATACAGAGAGAGAGATCTTCTACCTTCTGGTTCATTCCCAAGTGGCCGCAAATGCTGGGGTGGCCTGAGCTGATCCGAAGCCAGGAGCCAGGAACCTTGAACCTCTTCCAGGTTTCTCACATGGGTGCAGGGTCTCAAGGCTTTGGGCCGTTCTCCACTGCTTTCTCAGGCTACAAGCAGGGAGTAAAGAGGGAAAAAGAGCAGTGCCCATATGGGATCCCAGTGGATGCAGGCAAGGATTTAGCCATTAGGCTATCACATTGGGCTTTATATTACTATCACATTGGGCTATCACATTGTGTTTATATTAAAATAAAAAACCACAAGTGATGCCTGTTTTCTTTATGGCAGTTGCGAATGTCCTCTGATCCTCTGTAATGCTTTATAGCTTACATTGGGTTTTGAGGAGCCACTCGGTTTTTCAGCTCCTTGGCGTTTATTGAATCATCTGTGGCCCAGAGGAGCAGGCTGTTTTCATAGAATTAAAACATAAAGGCAGAATTAATTGTAAGGGATAAAAGATTAAAAAAAAAAACTAGTCTAGCCATTTTTTTGAGCACTGTAGAAGAGTTTAGGGGTCATGCTGTATTGCTACCCTTAAAGAATCAGAAAGGGGAGGATTGATACTGCATAATTCTTAATCAAGGTATGTAATAAAAACTACTATAACAGATGGGAGGAGTGGTGCTTCTTGGGACTATGGAGGAAAAAGGCAAATTCTTTTCATATTTATATTTACTACTAACTACTAAAAGATGGGTTAATGAAAAAGTAACAGATAAGATTATTTTTAAAATTTTTATTGCAAAGTTAGATATACAGATAGGAGGAGAGACAGAGAGGAAGATCTTCCATCCAGTGATTCACTACCCAAGTGACCTCAATGGCTGATGCTGTGCCGATCCAGAGCCAGAAGCCAGGAACTTCCTCCAGGTCTCCCACATGGGTGCATGATCTCAAGACCTTGGACTGTCCCCGACTGCTTTCCCAGGCCACAAGCAGGGAGTTGGATGGAAAGTGGAGCTGCCGGGATTAGAACCAGCGCCCGTATAGGATCCTGGTCCTTTCAAGGCAGGGACGCCTTCACGCCAGGCCCCATTATTGTGTTTTGTGCAACAAACTGGAATATTTGTATAGTCACCCATTTAAAAGCAAGCTGGTTTGGTAAAAGAACTAAATGTGAAAGTAAGAAGTTAAAGTGTGAAGGTGGTGATTTCAGCAGCTAGAGTTTATTCTTTTTTTTTTCCTTAAGATTTATTTTTATTTGAAAGGCAGATTTTACAGGGACAGATGGTGAAAAACAAGGTCTTGCATCTGCTAAATCATTCCTCAAATTATCTCAGTGGCCAGTGATGAGGTGGCCTGAAGCTGGGAGCCAGGACCTTCTTCCGGGTGTTGGAACCCAAGGGCTTGGGCCATCCTCACCTGCTTTCCTACACCATAAGCAGGGAACTGCTATGGAAGGGGGAACTGGCGCCTGTATGGGATGTCAGTGCCACACAGTGGAGGATTAGCTGGCTGTGCCACCATGCCAGTCCCTGAATCGTTTATTCTTAGGAAATGAAGTTGCCAGATTTTGGAACAGCTGTGAAATTGAAAGGTACTTTAAAGAAAAAAAAAAGAAGAACCAGGACATAATACTTAAAAAGAAAAAAAACAAACCCAGAGGGCAGATGGCAGAGGGAGGCGGAGGCAGAAAGAGAAATAGATCATCCATCCACTGGTTCATTCCCAAGGTTCCCAGACCTTCTGGTGCTTTCCCAGGCACTTCAGCAGCCAGCCTGACTGAGCGCCAACAGCAGAGCAGCGGGGCCTGCAGCACTCATTTCTGCAGCCGCTGCCTTACCCTGTTGGGTCAGTGCCTGTGCCAGTTTGCTTTTTTTCCACCAAGATTCCATAGGAGATAATATGTAGATGGAGAAAACCACACAAACAAACATGGCTTGGGAAAAAATTAGATTAGAATCTTGCTGAAGTAATTTGTATTTCTTTTTGTATCTTGCATGTATGTGTGGTTAAAGCAGGCTTAGAGGATAGTATTTGCAAGCCTGGAGTCATTCATAACAAATCCGGTGATTGTTTTTTCTACTTTTGTCTACTGTATTCATTCATTCGCTTTCTCTCATTTTAAGACTATTTATTTTGTTAGATTTACAGAGAGAAGGAGAGATAGAGAAGTCTTACACCCATTGGTTCACTTCCCAAATGGCCACTGTGACCAGAGCTGGGCCTATCTAGGCCTGAGAGCCAGGAGCTTCTTCCAGATCTCCTGTGTGGAACCACCGTTAGCTGCTTTCTCAGACCCTCAGTAGGGCACTGGGTCCAGAAGTGGAGCAGCTGGGCCTGGAGCCAGCACTCACAGAATACATACTGGTGTTGCAAGTAGAGCATTAGCTTGCTGTGTCACTGCAGTGGCTTCTCTGTTTTAAGTTGGATTTCCTAAACTTCACGTTATTAAATTTTTTCATGCTTAGAAACATTGAAATTGGGTCTTTAAGTGAGCATATTAAGATTTATTATTTTCAGTGTAGTTAGTATATATTTTTGCCTTATTGGAGTTTACAATATTTCTTTGTTGCTACAGTAGTGCAACTTTATAAAAACACTCAAGCATTCCACGGTTTTCAAATGAAAAGCAAAGCCATGTTTGTTTGCAACTTTGAAAGGTTCTGAAGTGTTTTCCTTGGTTTGATTCATTATGGTAAGATTAAGTCAGCTTCAGACCTTTTCTGGCTCTGTGGCCCTTTTAGTTAAGGAGAGTAGCTGATCTGACTTTCTACTATAGTTCATTTATTTTATCTGATATGTCAAAATGTTCTCTGGAAGAACTTTCATTGTTTAGTTGGAATTTTTTTAATTAAAATTCTTTCATTTCTGGAAAATGAGATTTTACTATTAGGGAGTTTAAGGAAAATATATAAGTATTTTATACTTAATGATTTGATTTGGTGAGTTTCTTAGCCTAATAATAATTAGCTTATTAAGTTCTTAGACTTTTGAATTCATTTTACAGAAGAGGTTGCAGAGGAATCGGCTGCTATCAGCATTGCACAAATGGAAAAACGTTTACTCCATGGCTTAATCCATAATGTGCTACCATATGTTGGTACTTCTGTAAAAACTTTAGTATTAGCATACAGCTCTGCAGTTTCCAGCAAAATGGTATGTATGCATTAGCACTAATTTGGGTTTTAAGCAGTGATCTAACTTTAGTTGCTAATTCTTGAGTTTGATCAAAGAAGAACATTACTTAAGCTGCCGTCCCATCTGTAGGTACACACTGCTAGCTGTGATGGCATTTTACTCAGTTCTCACACGCATCTTTGTGACATTGACATTGCCTACACATTATAGATGTTATAATACACTGGAGAATGTTGAAAACCACTGTGTTCAGTCTCAGATATGTGAAGTGATAAAGCCTAGTTTTACATGAGTTTATTGTAATGAAGCATGTAAGGCATGGTGCAGTTGGCGAGTCAGATACATAAGCGTATCTTGATAAAAATCTCCTTGCATATTCCTTGAAATATAAACATCCTGGGTCCAGTTACGTAACTGCTTAGTCAGGTTTTTGAGGATTGAGCTCAGAATGTACCATTCAACACATGTTTTACAGAGAATCAATGGGATATGTTTACTGCTAATTACCTTGCTTATCTAACTACAGGTCTGTCGATCTTTACAGTGGCTTTTTTCCTCCTTAGGTTAGGCAGATTTTAGAGCTTTGTCCTAACCTGGAACATCTGGATCTTACACAGACTGACATTTCAGATTCTGCTTTTGACAGGTTAGTTGATTTTACTTATTTAAAATCTGTTCTGCAATTTATCATTTACTTGGCTGCAATTTAATTTTGATGTTAATTTTTACTCCCATATCCTAGTCATGTATGGCTACATCTTGATAATACTTAAAAAAAAAGAATCTTTAAGTTATTTTCATTTGTTTGAAAGAGATTGAAAATCTTCCACCAGCAAGTTCATGTCCGCAGGTGTCAGCAATAGCCAGGGCTGACTCAGATTTAACCAGGAGCCCAGAACTCAGTCTGGATCTCTGATTTGGGTGACAAGGACCCAACTAGTGAACTGTCACCTACTGTCTCCCAGGGTGCCACCTGGAAGGAAGGAAACAAAGTAGAACTTGAGCTAGGTGCTCCAATGTGAAATGCAGGTGCCTGAAATGGCATCTTAACCCTTGAGCCAAATGTCAACTTTCTGCCCCTCTCCCCACACTGCCTCCCACCCCCCAATTCCTTGCCTCTGTAAGTCTTTGCCCATCTGGAATTCTACTCAGAATCATCTTATATTCTGATAGAAGTCTCTATATAAGTCTCTATATTCCTTTACTATAGCTAGGCCTTGAAGCTTTGCTGTATAACCATGTATCTAGATGCCATTTGGCATAGCTGCTTCTTAAATTCTTCAGTTATTCTCAAATACAGCTCCTTTCTTCAAGCTGTACTTTGAGTAGATTGTGCTTCCTTGGGTACCAACATTTTCTCCTGTTCTGTCTCAGCCCTTTTCCCGTTGTGGCATTTACTGGTTCAGAGGGAGCGCAAGGTTCCTTTCTGGCTAAGGCTGCTAGTGCTGCAGAGTCTGGAGCGCGTTCCTGCTGGAGCTTCCTCCACTCGTCAGCTACCGTGTGTACACTGCCTGGCAGCAGCTAGTGACTTTCGGGAGAATAATCTGAAGACTTTCCATTTCTTAACTTTCTCTCATTCCATACTTCTGTTATCAGTACTCTTTACTTTTTCACTGTAGTGCCCACAATATTTATTGCAAGTGATACTTGATAAATATTAGAGTCATCATATTAAATTTAGAAGCTTTGAATCTCTGTCTCTCTGTCCTGGTATATATATGTGTGTATATACCCCCACTCATATGTATAAATTTATATAAATAATTGTGTGTATATATATGTGTGTGTGCTTGTGTGTATGTAATGCTTTTTGATGCATATAACAGTATCTCTTAATGATCTTGTTGCTTCTGTATTACAGTTGGTCCTGGCTTGGTTGCTGTCAGAGTCTCCGGCATCTTGATTTGTCTGGATGTGAAAAAATCACAGATGTAGCTCTGGAGAAGGTTTCTAGGGCTCTTGGAGTTCTGACACCTCATCAGGGTGGCTCTTTGAAGGCTTCCACAAGGAAAATTACTTCGACTACATGGAAAAATAAAGACATTACCATGCAGTCTACCGACCAGTATGCGTGTTTGCATACGTTAACTAATGAAAGCATTGAAGAAGAAATAAATAACGAACACACCTGGCCAAAGTCTGTTTCTCCTGAAAATTTTGCTTCTCCGTATGTGTGGATGTTAGATGCTGAAGATCTGGCTGACATTGAAGATGCTGTAGAGTGGAGACGCAGAAATGTTGAGAATCTTTGTGTAATGGAAACAGCACCCAACTTGAGTTGTTCCACCTCTGGTTGTTACAATAAGGATATTGTTGGACTAAGGACTAGTGTCTGCTGGCAGCAGCATTGTGCTTCACCGGCCTTTGTGTATTGTGGTCATTCGTTTTGTTGCACAGGAGCAGCTGTGAGAACTATGTCAGCTCTCCCAGGCTCTTCTACAGTGTGTAGAAGAGCATCAAGGACTACAGTTCCTGAGGGAAAAGACTTAGTTTACTTTGGTAGTGAAAAATCTGATCAAGAGACTGGACGTGTACTTTTGTTTCTCAGTCTGTCTGGATGTTATCAGATCACAGACCATGGTCTCAGGTAAGTGATCCATTCCAGTGTTAGGAATGGACATCTTCTTCATTTGTAAACGGAATATAAAATTTTTGATCTAAGTTAATTGTTCCCATTTTATATAGGCAAGAATGCTGACCAACTTGTGTCATATTTCATGGTGCTGGAATACTGCTGTTAAGTGTTCACAAGAACAGAAACACTACTGGGTTGGAGCCTTTTTAATTTCAAAAATTTTAGAGTACTTTTGTTTTTGTTTTAATTTTTTTACTTGAAAACACATCAGAGACAGAGGTCGTCTGTCGGCTAGTTCACTCCCCAAATGCTTGCAGGGGCTGTGCCAGGCCAAAGCCAGGGCTTGAATTCCATCAGGGTGAAATTCCTATGTGAGTGACAGGCAACCAAGTACGTGAGCCATCATCACCTGCTGCCTTGGAGGAGTGCTTTAGCAGGAAGCTGTGTTGGAAGTAGAGTGGGGGCTTGAATCGGGCATCTCAAAATTGGATTCAGTTACCTGAAGTTGGCATTTAAACTGCTGTACCAAATGACCATCCCTGAGGTGAAGTAGCTAGGTGTTGTAGCTAGAATTTGGAATTTTTGGTTTGTGATCATGATGTCCCTAAAATTCTGTTGTTGAATTTCTGCATTTTGATCCCCCCCCCCTTTTTTTTTTGAGCTTATCCTATAGCTGATTTTATTTAAGAGACAGATCTTCCTTTTGTTGACTCACTTTCCAGATGTTCGCAACAGCCAGAGCTGACGCCAGAAGCCTGGGACTCGATACAGGTCTCCCCTACAAGTGTCAGGGATCCAACTGCTGGAATCAGCCCTGCTGTCTTCCGGAATGTGCATTAGTAAGAAGCAAAAGGCAGAGTGGGGCATGGACTCTAACCCAGGCAGCCCAGTGTGGCATGTGGGCACTCCTAATGCCTGCCTTCCTGCCCCCTTTTTTTTTCCTAGAGGGAAAAAGAGGTAGAAGTGAAATATTAACTAGTCGAGAGAAGTAGCACTGTTTGGAAAATAGGTTCTGTTGTATATTTGATGGAATCCACTTGAAGTTCTGTTGGTTTAGACTTGGCATAGGTTGATATTCTTTCGTCTAACTGGCATTGTGTTTAACCTTGCTGTTGTGAGACTTAGCTATGTGCGAGGCATTTAACAATACTGCAGAGGAGTGTTTCAATAATTAGTAGCTACTGTACAATAGTTGTGTGATCATCTTCTGTATGAACTTTTGGAATTGATGACATTGAAAAATTCAGGGGATTGTTGTGGCCAAGTGGGTTGGAGTCCCAGAAGGTTTGCGTCTAATCAGCATCTTGCGAATATGCCTGGGAAAGCAAGGGAAGATGTCCAACTCATTGGGTCCCTTCTGCACATGTGGGAGACCAAGATGCACTTCCTGGTTCCTGGCTTTTGTCTGGCCCAGCTCTAACTCTTAGGCAGCTGGGGAGTAAATTCATAGATGAAAAATCTGCCTTTCTGTCACCTTGGTTTAAAACAAACACATTTTTAAAATGTGCAGGAGTAAGAACAAAAGGTACAATTTAAAAAACCCCCAAATGTTCAGGAGTAATGGAATTAAAAGATAAATTTATTTTGTTACAGAGCTGTTTTGTAGTACATGCATAGTTTTTGTAATGTGTGTTTCCAGTGAACTTTTGAAAATTTCTCATTCATGGATTTATTTTGTTTTTTTTCTTCACCAAAGGAAACTTAATTCTGATTTTCCATAAACTTTTTGAAGTATTCTTGTGGTTCTCCTTAGCGTGCTTATTATCCCTTCTGGGAGAGTGTGTAGAAACACTCTGAATTTCCATTGCTTAGGCTTTCCTATAAAACCAGCCTTCTGCACCACTGGTAATAGAATTGCTTACCTTTGTACTAGAAAGGTGAAAAAAAACATGAAAAATGCTTGTGGTGTGCGCCCAGGCGGACTTTGAAAGGTTGTGCTGTATCCTGAAGTTCTTATGAGGTTGTCTAATGTAAGAACACAGAACAAGTCCGAAGGCCTGTGGTGGTTCCGTGGGTGCTGAATATCTAAGGGCTCATCAAGCCTGCTTTCTTCATTGAAGAGCAGACAATCATTGTCAAAGTGTTGAAGGCACAAGCAGAGCCAAAATGTTCAATAAATAAAGGAAGCTTTTATTAGGTAATTAAAATGTTAAGAACCATAATGAGGTAAAAGATACTTTATAATGAAAACTTTGCCTGACACAAAAAGATTATTATAATAGTCTTGTCTAAGTCATCTACATTAATAAAGTGTTTTCTGCTGAGGTAAGTGCTGTTATGATTTGATGGCCTTATATCATTCCATTAATTTTGTTTATTTAATTTAAAATACATATATTAAAGTTTAAAAGCAGTAAAGATAATCATATTTTGAGTTTTATTCTTTAAAATGGGCTTCAATTTAAAATAAAAACAATTTTTGCTTCAATTTAAAACCTAGTATTTTATTTTCAACTGAAATTGTCTTTTCATTACATCATACTTATTAAAATGTATTTATGAGTCTGTCTATTGTATTTTCAGCATGAGACATTTTGTTGTTCAGAGAATGAAGAATTTATAAAACTGCTGTCCTGTTTCAGAGCTGAAATGATTTCTGACCAGTCAGTCCTCGGTTTTAGAAACAACCCTGAACTCATTAAAATTGTTTATTATTAACAAATTGTTTGCAAGGACAGTTAAAATTTTAGTGAATCCAGATCGTGTCTTCATTCACTTTGAAAATACTTAATAGCAATCAGTCTTCATTCTTTCTTGCCTTTATTCACTGGTAACCTACTTTTAGTCTCTGCATTTACCTGTTCAAAAATAATAATTTTAATGGAATACGCAGTATGTGGCCATTCTTTTTTCTTTTACCGAGTATGTTTTCAAGTTTGATGCATGTCATAATACGTGTCCATATTTGTGACTGCATGATATTGTATAGGTACATTTTGTTTATCCATTCATCAAATAATGGGCACTTTGATTTTGATTTGTTGGCTGTTGTGAAGAATGTTTTTATGAACATTTGTGTGAAAATTCTTGTGTAAAATGTATGTTTTCAGTTCTTTTGAGTGTATACACCTGTAAAAGGAATTTCTTGGTCATGTGCTAGCTGTCATGTTTTGAGGAACCATCAAACATCACTAGGTTTAAAACTTGAATAATTTTGTTGATACTTTTTAGACAGGTAGGAACAGGAGCATGACAGTTGTAGGGTTCAGCATTTCTTTTGCTTACTGTTTCCTGAAACACAAGTTTCAATGATACCTGTAGAAGTTTTTCTGAGTTAAATGGACTCCTGCCTAAGAATAGGTTGGTTATTGGGACTTCTTATATTTTCTCATTACCAAATTTAGAAATATGCAAAATAGTGGTCTAGTGGTCTATAGCAATATGTAATTTTTTATAGTTGGATATGTTGTAACTGTTGGATTGTGTTCCACAGGGTTTTGACTCTGGGAGGAGGGCTGCCTTACCTGGAGCACCTTAATCTCTCTGGCTGTCTTACTGTGACTGGTGCAGGCCTGCAGGATTTGGTTTCAGCATGCCCTTCTCTAAATGATGAATATTTTTACTACTGTGACAACATTAACGGTAATGTCTTTTAGCAGTTAGATATCTTAAATTTATTTATTATTAAATAAATTTATTCTAATAATTTTTATGATTTTTAGTTTTCTTGGTTACTAATTAACAAATTGGTTTGCTTTCAGATTAGTCCTTTAAATTTGATAGATTATTACGTTTTCAGTAATTAGCTTCTTTAAAGTTTTTCTTTTCAGATAGCTATCTCATGTGTACATTTTTCCTGGCTTTTGAGTCATGAAATAGTTAAATCGTTAAAATTAGTAAATTGTGTTACAGAAATAATAAAATCCTTATAAAATTTTGGGCAGTTTTCACAGTATTTTTCACTCATTAACAGTTTAGAGGTGTTGGAGATTTCTTTGGAATGATAAAGTTTTTTTATTTATCAACTATAGTAAAAATGTGGGGTATTGATCACATAAGTTCCTCAGGGATTCTGTGTCTGATTCCAAATAAATCTTAACAAATTGAGATTGAGAGATGATGCTGAGTTGCTTTGGGTGTGACTAACAGTTCCTGTTGATTGTTGAAGGTACTTTAAAAAAAATCAAATGAATATTGTTTTGGGAGTGGGAGATATTTTCAAGCCTGTGCTACTGTCCACTGGACCTGTTTAATATGCTTTCTCGAAGTACATCAAGGCTGTTTTAGGCGTTTGATAGGCATTGCCAGGCAGTAAGTTTCTCAGAAGTATAAAATGCTGCTCAATTATTAGTAAATAGTTCAGCCTCTGCAGTGGCTCAATTGTTAGTACATAGTTGGACCTCTGTAGTGCTGGGAGAGATTGAGAGGGTCTCTTGTACCTGTGTTTATACCATGCAGTACTTGCTGACCTTGAGAGTCCACTTCATCTTAAAAAAAAAAAAGATGAAAAAATCAGCTGAATGTTTCTTAGAAGAATTGATGGATGCCATGAAGATGAGAAGAAACAATGATGAACTAAGGGATGGAGAAGGGAGCAAACCTGCTGTTTCCTAGAAATTAGATTGTCATGGAATACATATGAGGAGATAGGAGATTACAAGCATTTCTTTTTGGAAATCACAGTGTTAGGCAGGAAATGACTACTCCTGTTCCTGATACATCAGCGCTGTTGGGGCATGTCTTTGCTGCTTTCATTGTGCAGTGAGGGAATGTTGAAAGTGAGTGCCATTTTAGTTACAGTTACTGCACGGACCAGAACAAGACACAGTACAGTACTTACTTTAGTGGATGCGGTCAGTTTGAGAAGGGAGTTGCTTTTTTCCAGGTAAAGTCTTAACCATTTTTTTTGAGGTAACATTTTTAATTTACGTTGTAGCAAAGGCTTAATGGCTCTACTGCATAAAGAACTCAATTATATGTAAATACACATTTTTATAAATAGCAAGTTGTATTACTCTAGGTTCAGTATACTTCATAACAGGGCATATGCAATTTTTGGTCTTTAAAAGATCAAGATGCATATTGTGAAAAGGGCAACATATGATTTTCCATAAATATTTTCAGCAAAATAAACTTGATGCCTAATTCCATTTTCCATGTAAGTTTTAAATACTCTCATTTATGAATTAATGTTATATGGAAAAACATTAGGGTGTTGCTCTTGAATTCACATTGCTTTTAATATAGCTTATGCTTAGCATAAGCTTGAGAATAAATTTCATAGCTTAATTTATTATATTTATTTTGAGATAGATATTTTGGGTGGTAAGGTATTGAATACCAGTTCATTTTTATGACCTAATTTTTCTAAGTCTATGTGATTTTAAACTTCTTTAATTTAGATGGGATAAATTTAACATATAACATCATTTGCTGTGGCAGTATTTTTTTCATATTAACCTTTTGAATATGCAAATATGAAAGTATTCCAGAAAAGCTGTTACATTACTTTTGTTAGAAATACTATTTGTATTTCGATAAATTAATGATGATTTTCTGTAAATTTTAATGATGTGACTTTGAAGCTCTGAAAGGAAATTGCAGTAAATAATCTGATATTAGATCTTTTTATAACTGGTTAAAGCGTGATTGGGCAAGATGGAAGTTCTTTAAAGTTTATAGGGTAACTTATTATGTAAATCGTGTTGCAGAGTTCCAGCTAATGCTTTGATATAATTCTTTAAAAGGACATACAGGCAACCTATACAGTGTAACAGTTGGCATTGTAATGATTTTGCAAGATGTTACCACTCACCTTAATATCTTTCTATATAATTCAACTTGCAAATATTTAGTGAATAGCTAATTACCATCTTACTATTATTATTTCTGAAAGTAGTCAGTATATTTTAATAGAAGACCATGGAATAATGAGGAGGTGTACTTAAATCCCTAATTAAGATTTGAATATTTGAGAGTAACTTTTAAATAGTTGTTTTGTTAAGTGAAAATCTGCATAGTTGTTGGTTATTAACTGTCAGGTAAATGAACTGTAGGAAATAAATGCTAAGAAATATTAACCATTAAGTAGCAAATAATAGATTGCAAAACATAAGCATTAATAGAAGTTTTTGAGAAAATTGTCATTAGATATTAACTAATAACTATTTTGAGCAAAATACTAATAGGAAACACAAATTTTGATTGTTTTGAAGATTATAACTTTTAAATTTACTATCTAAATAAGGATTTGAGTATAAAAGAGGGCTTATCCATAACATTTTTAAAATATCATTTTAGAAGTGTTACTGTAGTAGCAGTTTAGTGCTTGAAGGACATTCGGATAGTGACAGCAAACTTTCGTACTTCTTGCATTCAGTGTATGTATAATTTATGAATTAAGATAGATTAGTCCATGGTTCTGGATGTCTTCGATGATTTGCTCTCTTATGTTTCTAATTTAACTTAAAGAGGAATTGAAGGTAAGTGAAGGTAAGTGCACACATACAGCCCAAGTGTGTACAGCGCCCACGACCTAGGGAAACAAGTCATTTAGCACTCAAAATCGGAGGAAATATTAGCTAACTTGGTAGTGCTTGTCACATAACATTTTAAAATATTTAATGCTTATGCAGTTTTGTTTTCCTTTTTATCTTAATATGTTATAACTGAGTGAGTCCTACGTTGAGTTAGAAATTTGCTGGTGATAAGTACTCTACAGAAGCTGCTCTTTGGATTGTCAGTATCTATAAAATCACAGCTATCCACTTGCTCTGTGTGCAACCTGAGCTATCTTAGTCACATTTCGAAATAAGTTTTTTCTGCCTCATATGGTCTCCTATCTATTATTATTTTTTCTGAGAAGTCTTTGGTGATACCTACAGGTCTTATTGTTGTGGTCTTTACATTGTTTTTAGTAGAATTAAGTCCCCTGGTGGGCACTCTTAGTTTTATTAATTAGCAGCAGTTGCTGTGTTACGGGCTTTACTGTAGGTTTGTATTTTTGAGGCATTTAATATGCTTCTCTAGATAGATCTTACTATCTAATTTGGAAATGCTGATAAGTTAATTACCTCTCTTTTTCCTTGTACTCTTAGAATGCCACTGGACTCAGGTGTTCTAGTACGTGGTTGAAGGAGAGGGCACATTTTATCTCCCTGAAAGCAAAGGCCTTTTTGTGTTGAAGTAAGAGCTGCTGGCAGTGGGGTTATTAGCTTTCTACCTTGTCTAAGGGTACAGATTTTAAGTTCTACATTTTTTCTTCCCCTGTAATTTATCACCGTTCATTTGATTTTGAGAGCGAGGTGACCCAGGTAACCAGGGTGGAACCTGAGGATGCTGGGCCCGGAGCCTGTGGGAGTGGAGGCTAAAGGCGGTGCACGTCAGCACACATCTGCATCTCCAGGAGAGCCTGCTTGGTCAGATTGTTCCTGGCAGGCTCACTTTGTTTTTCCCCTTTTAAACAAATGAGAATATAGACATTTTGAAGTATTATAGCATGTTTTCATTGGAAAATTCTGTGAAAGTCTGTATGTCTATCATTTTTCCCATAAATAATAATTTAGAATATAGTTATACACTGATGAATGATAATCAGATACTTTTTGATAAAACCCAAGAATTTATGCCTTTTATCATGGATCAAGTGCCAAGGCAGGACATGTTAATGAGGCGGGGTTTAGGTCTTGGCCACAGGCAAGACATGACAGGCAAAGCGCCATTGAGTGTGAGGAGTGAGGAAAGGCAAGCCAAGAAGGGACAGGCAGGGAGCGGGAGTTGCATTGTAGGTAAAACTGAAATAGCTTCACAGCGGCAGCCTGGTCAGAAGTGGAGGGTGGAAGGTTGTTAAGGCGCAGAATTTGTTATCAGGTCATTTCTAATAGATACATTATGGTGTGTACTAAAAAATTTCATATTGGCTTTGTGGTTAAAATGGTTTTATCTTGTGTCCTATTTTAAGGGAGAATTATCCTCACAAAAATGTGGATTTTAAATTTTTACCATATTTAACTTTTTATTTAAAATCTAACACTTTTTTCATTTAATGATAATGGGTTTTGTGGTGTTGCAGTTTTCTACTTAAAATAATTTTAAACTCTCAGTGGAAAATTTTAAACAGAAACAATGAGTCCTCATGTGCTAGCAATTTTAGCAGTTACAAATTTGGTCAGCTTTCTTTGATCGATTTAACTACCATTTCAATAATTTAAAGCTTATTCCAGGAATCATACTAGTTTTATTTTTTTTTTAAAGATTTATTTTTATTATTTTTTCATTGGAAAGGCGGATATACAGAGAGGAGAGACAGAGAGGAAGATCTTCCGTCCGATGATTCACTCCCCAAGTGAGCGCAACGGGCCGATACTATGCCGATCCGAAGCCAGGAGCCTCTTCTGGGTCTCCCACGTGGGTGCAGGTTCCCAAAGCTTTGGGCCGTCCTCGACTGCTTTCCCAGGCCACAGGCAGGGAGCTGGAAGGGAAGCGGGGCTGCTGGGATAGAACCGGCACCCATATGGGATCCCCGGGGGTGCAAGGTGAGGACCTTTAACCACTTTCGCCACCGCGCCAGGCCCAATCATACTAGTTTTAAAATGTAACTATTTAGCAGTAAATGGAGTTGGGCACGGTGTGGTGGCCTAGGGGCTAGAATCACCACCACCATCCCCACCCCGCCTTGAATGCACCGGGATCCCATATGGGCACCAGTTCTAGTCCTGGTGGCTCTACTTCCCACCCAGCTACCTGCTTGTGACCTGGGAAAGTGGTCGGGGACGGCCCGGAGCCTTGGGACCCTGTACCCATGTGGGAGACCCGGGGGAGGTTCCTGACTCCTGGCTTCGGATCAGCGCAGCATCGGCCATTGTGGTCACTTGGGAAGTGAATCATCGGACTGAAGATCTTCCTCTCTATCTCTCCTCCTCTGTATGTCTGACTTTGCAGTAAAAATAAATACATCTTAAAAAAAAAGAAAGAAATGGAGTCATAAGTGAGAGTAGTTCCACATACATGTATAAAGTTCTTGAGTTTCTTCTCATTAAAAATGTTTGTCATTTCCATAGTGACATATATGAACATTGTCCTCAGACTAGTCTGAGTAATTTGCGCTATTATTTTGTATGTGCTGTTTTGGAAATACAAAGAAAGTTAAATTTTTGGAAATGTATTTTTTCTTTGCATGTAATTTGCAAGCAATTATTATGGTATTACTGGCACAATTCCCAAGGAGTGCCATCTTAAAAACTGAATTTAGAGGACTAGCGTTTGGTGTAGCAGGTGAAGCTGTTGTCTGACTGCAGCATCCGGATGCTCCCCTTCTGGTCCAGCTCACTGCTAATGACCTGGCAGTGCAGTTAAGAATGGCCCCGGGGCTTAGGCCCCTGCCACCCCCATGGGGGACGTGGGTGAAGCTCTTGTCTCCCAGCGCTGGTCTGACTTGTCCCAGCTGTTGCAGCTTTCTGGGGAAAGAACCGGCAATGGCAGAGCTCGCTTGCTCTGTCCCTGTCCCTTCCCTCTCGCACATCCCCTGTAACTACAAATTTCAAATAAATTTTTCATTTTTAAAAAATCTGAATTTAAAGTAAGTTAGAGTTAAACTAGATATCATTCCAGAAAAGTGTAGTTTTTCAGTTACAATTCATTTGCTATTTTCTGCAGTAAAATTGTATTTTGTGTACTTTTCATTTCATTCATGTACTAGTCATGGGATCTGGTCACGGACATACTGGTAGAAGTATTCATGTACACAGTCATGGACATGGTCATGGACATGGTCACACATAGTCACGGACATAGTCACGGACATGGTCACGGACATAGTCACAGACGCAGTCACGGACATTGTCACGGACATGGTCACAGACGCAGTCACGGACTTGGTCACAGACGCAGTCACGGACGCAGTCACGGACATGGTCACAGACGCAGTCACGGACATGGTCACAGACGCAGTCACGGACATGGTCACGGACATGGTCACAGACGCAGTCACGGACATGGTCACAGACGTAGTCATGGGCGTATTCTAAGATGTCACTGGAGTCGAAATAGCATTTTTAACAGTCATCTTTCTGAAATTTGTCATTTACTCCAAGTACCTAACATTGGAATATGTGCTGTGAAACCTCTTCTTTAATACTTCTGAATTCTCAGCTTTGTTCCCTAATGTAAATTTTATCTGGTGTCTGAGTAGTATAGTGTGGCTGGAATTAAAGTTTATTTACTCCACAAATATTTTATTACTCTTGTTTCTAAGTGGATCACATTTTTTATTATGCATTAGACTATATTTATTTATTTAGTCACTCATTATATATTGAACTTTGTTTTTTTTCTGGTCCCGCTGTATGATTTTTTTTTGTTATGCACATTAAAGTACAGTGAACATATTAGGTCTGTGTTTCCATATTTTTCTGTAAGTTTTGCATTTATTGTAATTGCTCAATATTAGGTTTCTTGGCTTATCTAATAATAGGTAGAATTAGTTTGCCATATTCTAGGAAAACTCTTAGAATTATAAATATATGTTGTGAAATTGACCTCCAAATTTGTATTTACAAATATTTATTTATTGCCTTCTTTGTTTCCTAGATCTGTATTTTGTAAGATTATTGCCAAAAGCTTATTTCACTTTTTCCATTTATTTTTTGGACTACAAAAGATACACTAACTAAAGTCGGACTGCTTTTTGGTGATTTTTTTTTTTCTGAGTAATTGTTACACATTCATTGTGAGATTTTACTTCTGTTATATAAATGTACTGCTTGGAAAACAGATCTATTTTTAGCTCCCTCACAAGCAAAATTAATTTTATATGATCTGTGAGAAATTCTTCCTTTCACATTCTTCTGTTTTCACACAGGTCCTCACGCGGAAACCGCCAGTGGATGCCAGAATTTGCAGTGTGGTTTCCGAGCCTGCTGCCGCTCTGGCGAATGACCCTTGACCCCTGACCTTTGTCTACTTCATTTAGCTGAGCAGGCTTCTTTTCATGCACTTTACTTAAAGCACATTTCCTGTGTTAACTCTCCCATGTTGAGTGTGACTTGTTTTGGCCCTGTCCTTACAATCTCAGAAATACTAACTACCAGTCAATTGTACAGTGTTGTTTCTCTTACCAATGATGTCCTTTCTCAAGAAGGATTAGGTCTTTTCCTAAGGATGAGAACAGTTAATATCAACTTTCCTTTAAAAGAAATACTTTCAAAAAAAGTTAGCTAATGCTGTGCCAGCTAATGTATTTTTAAGGTTATTTTACATTTTAAAGTTATTGATTCTCTTTATATATAATCACTGTACAGCTTTGCAGATCTTTTCAGACTTAAATTTTGGAAATTTTATTTTCAAAGATTCTGCATTTTGGAGACTAATCTTTCCCGTAACATTTTCTTTATTTGGACAACTTTCAGAGGGCCAATTCAGACATTAGAGGTTGTGTTTAGGTGATAGAATAAATTGGATTCTTGGTGTTAGCTCAGTGAGCTAGCAGAGCACCAGTCTCTCTGTATGCTTTCTTCAAAGACTCCCGGTTCCCATCGTTGTTCCAAAACTGTCAGATTTGAGAAGGATTTAAAAAAAAGTCCATAATTGTTTGAAGAAATGTATAAATAAAACCTACTTGAGGACTTTACCAAGAAATGGCTGTTGTGTTGTGATTTTATTGTAAATCTCTTTCTAAGCTTGCTTTTCTGTAAAATATGACTGAATATTTTGTATTTTGATGACCTGTGATATCACTACCCTAATAAGTGATGTTTTAGATAACACATTTTGTTCAACTGAATTTCTTGGAATTAGTTGTTCAGTAATCTGAAATTTTGTGTTTATTTTCATTGCTTTGTGAAAAGATCATGAGAGTGGAGATGTGCCACTTAGTACATATGGTGCTATGTGTAAATTTATATCAAGAAGAGAATAGCGATGTGGCATCTGTTTTATAAATACATGCAAAAATGCTGATAGGAAGTAATCTTGCTTTCAAGTTCTTAAGGGCCCAGGGGGGAGGATGAATAGTAGAAAGAACGACAAATAGACAGATTTTAGTTCACAGAGAGAACTCATGCTTTGGACAGTGTTGTCTAAGGAAGAAGGAAAAATCATTTAATGGGACAATACAGAAGGAAAATTCACAAACACTTCTTAAAGTAACGTCTTAACTGTATCTTATTCTGTACCTGTCTTCTCTGCCTTTTAAGGGAATATCAACTCTAAAGGTATCTAGGGCCAGCATTGTGGCATAGTACATAAAACTACTGCCTCAGTGCCAGCATCTCATTTGGGCCCCAGTTCATGTCCCAGCTGCTCTACTTCTGATGTGCTTCCTGTGCGCCCATCTGGAGGCCCGGATGAGCTCTGTCTCTGGCTTTTTCAGATCTTTTGTTTGTTTCTTCCTAAGAGAAGATATCTGACGATGCTTTCCTTGACACTTTACCCTGCTTTAAGGGCAAGATCCCAGATGGAACTGTGGAAGTTTCTTGCAGTTAACATGGATGCGGCTGTGGGTACAGTGGTGCTGCGGGCTAATCCTTTGCCCTGTGCATTGGCATCCCATATGGGTGCCAGTTCATACCCAGATTACTTCACTTCTGATTGTGCTATGGCCTGAGAAACCTGCAGAGCATGGTCCAAGTCCTTGAGACCCTGTATCCATGTGGAAGCCCTGGAAGAAGCTCCTGGTTCCTGGCTTCACATCAGTTCAACTTATCCCTGACTGTTGAGGCCATTTGAAGAGTGAACCGGCAGATAGAAGACTTTCTTCCTGTGTCTCTTCTCTCTGTCAGATTTCCCTGTCCAATAAAAATAAGCAAATCTGGAAAAAAAATATGGGGCAGCTGTGTAAGCAGACCATGTTACCTCTGGATTTGTTGACTAGTTGTGTCTTCTGCAGCATTACTACCAGAAGCCCCATCCTGTAAAAGGCTGGCCTAGGCACAAAGGGAAACATTTCTTAATTCTCTCAGAGAACAAGAAAGAAAATCCAGGCTACTGGAGTAGTTACAGGTCTAAAGTTCTGTTTGATTTATTTTGTACTTGCCGTATTTTTATTTCCATATTACTTAGTACAGTTTATGTGAAAAATTGCCATCACAGACTTTCGAGGAAAACGACAGGAATCAGGAATTCTCTGGAGGTGAGTCCATGCTTCATCTTAAACGTTGTTGTTTGTTTCTTTTTTTACAATAAGGAAGAAGTGTAATATTGTTGAGGGAAATTTTGAATACCATCACGGAGAAAGAGCAAGCTTTGTAAATTAATTAGTGTAGTTACTTTCCTCAGAGATTTCAGGTATTTGAAATGGCTGATTCCTGCTGCTTAACATTAGACCATTTTGACAATATTGAACAAAACTGACTTCCCAAGTCAACAGGTTGTCTAGTGGGGACTCGTTATTTTTCTGTCATCTGCCTCATTCCAATCCTGCAGTTGGATGTAGATATATAGATAGCGCAATGTGCTTTGAAGTTTTATACCTAGTGAAGCGTATTTTTGGTTTATCTTAAGCCTTAGGACAATTCCTTTTGAAAGTTTCATATAACAATTTTGTAAAAATTCCTGTGATGCCTGATGAACATTAGCTATTTGGTGTGTGATTTGGGTGATATGATCATTCCAGTTTTGTATCCAGGAATAGTAGCTACAGATGAAGAAATTGTACAGTTACTACCTAGCTAATAAGTGGACAGAACAAGGATTCCTACTGAGTTATGCTCTTAACTGCTGTGGTAGCTGTTACGGTTAGGTATGAAAAAATTATGAGAGGCATATAAACAGAATTGTAATATAATCTGATAGAAGAATGCACAAGAAAATAGCAATGGTAGAAGTTGTTCCTTGACGTGGTTCCCTCCTGCTTGAGGATGTTTTTGTACATCAGTGACTCTCGGGTAGAGGCCAGTTGTCTAATGAAAGACATTGGCAACATCAGATGCTATAGGTTGTCACCACGTGGCAGGAGAGAGGGATGTGCCTGGCATGCAGTGGTTTGGGGTGAGAAGAACTACCATACTCATCAGCACATGTATTTATTGCTTTTTTTGAAAGGGAGAAGCAGAGACACAAATACCATCCCTGGTTGACTCCCCACAATAGCTGCAACAGCCAAGTTTGGACATACTGGTTGTGGGTTCCAGGAATTTCATCCTGGTGTCCCACAAGAATGACGGGCCAAGCTAATCAGACCATCATTGACTGCATTATCAGAATCGTCTGTAAGGAAGCCAAATTGGAGGGAGAGTAGTTAAGACTCAAGCTGGCACTTTAGTGTAGGATGCTGGCATCAAAAAACAAAGTTGACCCCATTTAATTTATTTTAAAAGTTTATTTACTTGAAAAATTGATGGCCACAACCTCGGAAAGAGCCAGGCTGAAGCCAGGACCTAAGAGTTTGATCTAAGTCTCTCATGTGGGTAGCCAGGCTCAAAACATGTGGACCATCTTCTGCCAATTTTCCCAGATCATTCAGCAGGGAGCTGGATCAGAAATGGGGGAACCCAGACACAAACTAGTGTTGGTGTTGGAGGTGGTGGCTTTAATCATTAGCTACAATGCAGGTCCCTTTTAGTATCTAAGCAGGACAGTGCATGAATTTGTATTGGTTGCAGCTAGTGTAATAAAATACAATAGATTGTATGACTTAGCAAACATCTGTTCTGCTGGGAAGCTCAGGATCTGGAAGCCAGTAGGTCCCATGTCTTGTGGGGACATTGCTTCGACGTGCAGGTGGTTTTCCTCTCATTTACCCTCATAGCAAAGAGGAGGAAAAGGGGAGTGGATAAGCCCCCTTCTGTCTCTATTTTTAAGAGCATTTTTTAAATAAGGGCTTTATTCACATGATTTTCTTAACCTTCCAGGGGCCCGTCTCCAAGTACCACACTGGGGATTAGGATTTCCACCTGGGAATTTCTTCAGAGTTGTTGATGCATGGTAGCAGCAGCAGCTTTTTTCCCCTTAACTATTTTGCTTTGGATAAATGTTTATGTTCCCATTTTTAGAAAAATACTGCATTGTTACAATGTATATGCTTGCTCCATATTTCTGTAGGGTAATGACATAGTATTAAAAAATGATTCTGCAAAACCATTCCTTCTTTGCCTAGAAAGGTTGTGAGGTGCTATTTTACTGAGTCATTTGACTGACACTGCTGGATTGGTGAGGAGAGAGCAGGGAGTCCAGGCCAGTGCAAGCAGGTGGAAAGCCTGACCTGAGCGATGCATGTGTTGTGCCCTGCTGCAAGCAGTCTCAACAGAACCCAGGGTCACAGTACAGAGAGCAGCACTAATAAAATGTAATGATTTTATTTCATTATTTGCAGATAATTTATTCTCAATGTAATTATAAAAGATTCTTAGACCACAATTACAGTTTTTACATGATATAAAAAGTGTAGTGAAAAATTGGTTACCTACTGCGTATAAGAGAGGCGACATAGATCCAAACAGACAAAACGTTCTTGGGGTACGGGTGGATGTATACAGCTAAAGCAAACTCAACATTGGGAACATCAATGCTGTGTACCCCAGTGCTGTACACGGCGTCAACCAAGGGCTTCATTTCAGAGTAGGCCATGTGAAGGGGAAATCCTGAGAACTGAAGGGCAAAATGACAGTCGTCAGTGAAGTCTGCAGATTTAAGGTGTGTGTGTGTGTTTTTCCACTATGTAAATATATACAAATCTTAATATAGTATTCAATTTATGTTTTTCTGTTCACTTATAATCAATAGAGAAAGTGTAGGGGGGTTTAATTTCTTTTGCTTCCTAGTATATCCATGTGTAAAACGTGTAAGTTAATCACAGTCCTCGTTCCCTTCCTTGTACTGACAGCCGTTATTTACCCAGGTGACCGAGCATTTAGGTGAAGCTGCTCAGACCACTCCATCCACCTGGTCACACTGACCTACAGGGATGGGCATGCGAACAGAGTCTCAATGACAATCTCAGGACATTTGTTAGGGATAATAACTGGCAGATACTCTCTCCTGCTTTGGACAATATACAGATGTGAGTCACGGCCTTCTCTAGGTTTTCGCTGCCCCCCCAAGGCTGATGTCAAACATGGAGGACAGGCTTGCATGGAAAGATTTGGCTGGAAAGTGGCATGACTCTGCTGGCAACCAATAAATTACCTTGTTTAAAGTTATTTGAGTTTTGTTACAATGCCACTAGAACTGAAAACATCCTGGCTGAGAACTTGGTGAATTTTGCTCAGGGGGTAAGAGGTTTTGACCCTTGTATTGATCTTTTGAGTTATGGAACTGTTCTGGTGCGGTTTTATTGTGTACCTACGGGATGTGAACAGCGATATCAACAGACAATAGGATATGTTGTCTGCTAGTGAAGATGTTCTTATTCTAAAGCCATCTGAAACCGAATTTTAAAAACAATCTACCATGTTGGCTTTTGCTTTAATGCACAGTTGAATGTAACATGAATTAACAAGATGTTTATGTTATGATTTGTGGTGTCTTAAAATTATTTTTCATAGCACCCTTTTATTGAAAAATGGTATTTTCATTTTATAGAGACACTTAGGTTATTTGGTGAGATAGTTAATTATTGAGGTTTAATCACATTTTTAGTCAATGCCATTTCATATTTTTACTTTAGGAAACAATCTAGGCATTTTGATCCCA